TTTTAAGGGCGCATTCATAAAAATTATAGCCCAAATGGCACTTAAATGGACTAATCAACCCTTACTAAAGGTAAAAACCAGGTTTGAAAATTATTTAGAGAAAATGAATCTTTGTGCACAAATTGTATTGCCTTTTTTAAGGGTTGAAAGTTGCAGATTTAATATTAATCGCAATATTTAAAAAATTGAGGCACAAAAATCCCTCTGTTGCACTAATGCACCCTTGCTCCCACTATCTAACGAAAAGGACGACATCTACAAATTGTTTCAGAAAAATGGAAGGTTTTGTCTATTGAATTTAAATAAGGGTTGAAAAGTGTAGATTTAATATCAATTGCCAAGTTTAAAACTTGGGGCCTAAATAACACTCAGTTGGACCAGTGGCGTAACTAGGTAGGTGCCAAAGGTGCCGCGGTACCGCGCTCTGAATGGGGGAGGGCGCGTCGGAGGCGCTGAAGCACCGAGGGCACTAAGTTGGGATGGGCAGTACGTGGTGTACCGTATAGGCCAGTCATAAAAGACAAGAACGGCAGTTAAATTCTAATACTTTGCTAAAGCACTGAAATATAATTAAAACTAAATTTACGCTCCTTTAGGATGAACCAAACATTGTTAAAAAGTAAAAAAATTATCAAAGTCTTTATGTGACATGTAAGGGATTTCAGCGCATTTTGTGTGGCAGATCAGTACTTTTATTAACCACAATCAATAAGATTTTGTCGAGGGCCCCATATTCCCTTTGTCGGTACCCACCTCCGACATTCCGTTCGCCCGGAATTCGCGTTTGAAGTTTTGACTCCACCGTTAGTAAGATCTTGTCGAGAGCTACCACACTCCCTTTATCGGTACCCGCTTCCGACGCCCCCACAGACGGCGGATGTATACACAGTTTGAATCAAAACACTTGTACCACGCTATCTTAAGTGCCTCAATATGAATGGCGACTGTGTTGAAAATAGCCTAAGAGTGTAGCTTCCAAATGTATATAATAAAAGTTGTTTATTACACTTTCTTAATTTTTTATTTCAAAACGTCTGTTACTTTCTGGATGGCCCTTGTAGTACAAAGTTACAGCGGTAGGAAAAGGCTGCAGATTTAAAATAATAATAATAATAATACTTTATTTGTGATCTATACAATAGTCTGTATTAGTGTAACCAGCATTTGCACGCAATCATTTCTACGACTTGTGCCCCATGCCATAGTTAAATTTGACGCGAGAATTGGAAACACTATAAATAAATGTATTTCTATTCTTCATTCAGTGAAAGATTTCGTTATTCAAAGCATCTTTCTAAAATTTAAGTATGCAAAATTTGTGTGTAAATTCGAAAGGGTGCAGTGCTGTTAAAATTTCGTGTAAAGTTTCTCTCAAAAATGTACCGTGTTTTATTAATTAGAGCGCAATGGTAACTGATTAGGCGCCAAAATCTGGTAGGGCGCCAAAACCTGATCCGGCACCGCTTCGAAAAATAACTAGTTACGCCACTGAGTTGGACTAAAGCACCCCTGCCACCTGTATGCAAAGAAAGGTTTAAAAAGCATTTCGAAGAAAAAGAAGGATTGCGCACAAATTTTATGTCACTCAGCGTTGAAATGCCCTTCAAGAGGACTCCATTACTCTAACTTACCAAAATAATGAAAAAATCGTTAAGCCGCTTGTGAGCAAGAGGCGAAGGTAGCACTTTCAAATTTGTTTTTTCGATTTTAATAGCCCCTTAGGAAAATGTCATGCTTTAACGAAAATAAAAACATTTCTGATCAAATGACACCAATACCACGTCTGTAAGTGGTGTTGTCCCGGAGCCTTTGTGACTCAGACAGACGGGCAGACATCAAGAGCGCAAAAGTGCACTTTTTTTTTGAATGTGAAAGTGCACTGAAAATGGTAGATTTTGACTAAAGTCTACCACATTTGCGTTTAATATATGACAATAATTGTTTCCTAATAAAATCAAAATTATCTTCAGTCGCGAACACAGGTGTTCACTAATTGGCCTACGTTATCTATACCTGCACGTTCGGTAACAAATTTACTTGTGACTCAAAGATTTTGAAAGTCGCATTTGCACTTTATTATGTATATTTAATTCGATCAATAATTACTTTTGGTAGCTTTACGTTATGCCATTTGGAACAAAATTTCAGTTTCAAACGCTTATTGGCAAAATGCCCCTTAATCCACTAATAGTTCCTATCGATCGAGATGATACTATTTTAAGAAAATTGCACCAGACCAAAAACAATGAAAAAAGTGCACCGAGTTACCAAAATTAAGGCTCAATCGCGCAGAAAATTTACCCAAAAATGGCGGTTTACCTGATTTTCCAAATTTTTTCCCTTGCTTTCTGACGAATTATTTTACCAATCGGTGGTGGGTTAATTGTGCGAGTAATTGAAAACTAAAAACTCACCCCTAAGCCTTATCAAATAAAAAATTTCGTCTCCTTTGGGCCTTGGATGGGACGAGCCATGCACACACACCAAAAGCGTTAACGTTTACTACTCGACTGCAGACGAGGTGGGTAGGTGTTGGACTAGGTGGAAACGCGATAAGAGCGTAGAGGTCGAGCGCGCCCCGACCTTGTTATCTCTTTGCGAATAACACGAAATTAAATTGTTTTTAAATCCAACATTTGAGAGGGTGGATACCTTTTGCTTTTGCACTAATACAGGGTGTCCACGGATTAAAGAAAAATTAATTCAAAAATGTCGGGTAGACGTAACCAAAGGGGTGGAAAACCGTGGATAATAATCTATAAAAGAGCATTTATCTTTACTTTGAATCCTTGAAAGGCCTTTAGAACTATTTGCGGGTTTTAAGTTGCTTTTTGAGTTTACACGGGAGCATACAGTAAAAGCTTTTAAAAATTCGTAATACGTTTTAATAATGTTCAAGATAAGCCCCTTGAGCAGCCCTAAAGAAATTTAGTTACTCTTTTAAAGTGTTTCTGTGGAACCTCAAAGGCCTTTAAGAACTACAAACCTCCAAAGGCCTCCAATGCCAAAACACCTTGTAGATGATTTTAGTGTTTAAAAGCCTGCAAAACCAAAGAGTCCTTAGCAGTTTGCAAGGGCCTTTTCAAAAACCTAAAAAGATCTGTAGGTATGAGACTTTTAAAGCGTTTGAGAGATTTTGAAAACATTTCAATAATCTTAAGGGCCTTCCAAGTGTTCACATGGGTCTCTATAAGTCTTGAAGGTCATATAAAGTTCTTAAAAGGACGTTAAAGGTTCCTTAGAATTGGGTTTATTGGGAAGTGAGAAGCATCTATAAGAGTTTTGTGTAAAAGCCTGTAAGGGCCTTAGAAAGTCGCCAACTCTTTCTAATGGCTTTTCTAAAATCACCCAAGAGTATATAAGAAACTTCTTTAATACATTTCAAGAAAGTTTTGAGATTTTTAAGAGTTTACATGAGCCTTTAAGGAAGGTTTTACTTGCATTTGGCAGCATGTAAGAGTCACCAAGATCCTTCAACGGTATTCACACCCCTTTTTAGCCTTCAGAGTCTGTAACAGTATCTTACGACCTTATTGGTCGTGTTATATTCGAACCTTGAAGAGCCTTTAGACTATAAACTATAAGAGATTTAAGAGTCAACGGTTAAGAGCCTTTTCCAAAACCTCCAAGGGTCCGTAGAAGTCTTTCAAGGTCTTTTTTACGTTATTAAAAAACACCTTAAGAGTTAAAAGCACACACGAGTTTCTAGTATCTTCAAGGACTTTCTAGAGGCTTAAAAAATCAGAACTCTTCAACGCAACCTTAAGGCTTTTTAAGGCTCACCGATGGTTGGTAGTTTGGACCTTGAACAGCGTTTCAGAGTTACGATCTTTACGGGTCCCTAGATGCAAACTTTTTATAGCCCCCTAAGGGTTTAATAAAAGATAATGACCTCTAAAAACCTTTGACAATTCTAAGTCTTTATAAGTCGCCAAATTTTTAAGGTCCAAAACACTCTTTTGTGGTCTTTAGTGCAAGATTTTATGCGGTTTGAAGATACTTTAAAGCTTTGAACCTTGATCGACCAAAAGTTATAGCTTTTAGGGGTGTCCTTTTTGATTGAGGATATTTAATACCTACTCGGTTGCGCTTAAGAACCTTTAAGACCCTTTAGGCCTTTAATGGTTAAAAAAACGTTAAGGTAACCGACTATTTACGTTCAAAAAGAGCCTTCAATGAAAGGTCGTTATAAGGAACCATTAAATAAAATCGATTTGTACTTAGAAAATTCATGGTTTCCACCGCTTTCTTTTTTCTGTAATTCTATAATTCTTTCTATAATTTTATAACCCGAACCTTGAAAAGTCTTTGAGATTATTTACAAATCTTTCGTGACCTATTGAGAGACCTTAACAGTTTCTAAGAATTTTTTTAAAATTTCTCCAAAAGTTTATGAAAAAAATCTCTTAAAACTTTAAAAAATTGTTATTTGAGAGCCTTTAAAGACTTTTGAATTAGAATTTCAAAAGCGTACGAAAGAATCTAAGGCTTTTAATTGGCTTTTAGCATTTGAACATCCTTAAAATGCTTTCAAAAATCTTTTATTCGCTTTAGTAACGTTCATGTGACAAATCTTGAGTAATCTTCAGTGGTTTTTAAGAACTATAAAGGTCATATTATTTAGACAAACACTTGGAATTTATTCAAGTATTGTTTTGAATAAATGTGGAAATTAAATACCCAACAGGTACGCCACTGTACAAACAGCATCTGTTTCGCACCATTTATCAAATGCGTTTTTTAAGCAATGGGAAAGCGATTCCCATTCAATCAAATTATTGATCCTTGTGATCAGCTGACTTTCACATCATCTCCCTTAAGAAAGACAATTTTGACAAAGGGGGATGTTTTATAAGGGGACTTAAGTGACAAAAGTGCTTTAAACAAATAAAACAACGAGAATTGATCATGTACGTATTTTTATTGTCATTTGTTTTTGACCTGTTGACATCATGAAATCGATTGTTTTTCCATTTCCATGTCCCATCTTTAAAGCCGAAACAAATAGGGGCCCCAGTCTGTGCTTAGTCCAATCGAGCAGTACTTCTCGTATGCCAATGATAATTTGCCGTACTGTAATCGCTTCGATTCACTTATCGTGAAGGCAAACACGTGATTGTATGGGGGATTTTAGATCAGCCCTAGGTAATTGAATTTAAACTATCTTTGAAAGAGGAGAGATAGTTACGAAAGCATAGGACAGACAAGGGAGTGCAAATTATGCATTCTTGAGACGTAGGTAAGTCGGAATTATACTTAATCCCGAGATGTACGAGAGGATTACATCTAAACATGACATCTAAGTCGGGATTATACCCGAGATATAAGTCGGCATTGTATCTAGTCTAACCCCAACTTAATTTTGTTTATTTAAAGTCGCTCTCTTGTTCTGGGCCCTCAACAGGCCTGTACTCAATTACAGAATGACCCGCATAGTGCTTTTTAGAGATGTCAGGATTAGATATAATGCCGACTGAAGTCGTGGGATTAAGAATAATCCTCACTTACATCTCGGGATCAAGATTAATTCCGACTTATATCACAAGATTATTTCCAAAGTCATCTACACACTTTTAAAAATAAAAAAATATTTCCAAAGGTTGCTATGTATTTTCAACTCGATTTTCAAAGAGGTGTATCCATTGAGGGAAACATTTTTTATACATTTTTAAAACATTCCCAAAATTTTTGAATTTTTTAGTTACACTTATCGATGGTGTGTAGATCCTACACACTTTCAAAAATTTTCAAAATATTTCCAAAGGTTGCTATGTATTTTCAAAGAGGTGTATTCATTCAGGGAAACATTTTTGACACATTTTCAAAACAATTTCACAATTTTTGAAATTTTGTAGTTATACATTTCAAAGGTAGTAGATCCCACACACTTTCAAAAATTTCCAAAATATTTCCAAAGGTTGCTATGTATTTTCAAAGAGGTGTATTCATTCAGGGAAACATTTTTGGCACATTTTCAAAACAATTTCACAATTTTTGAAATTTTGTAGTTATACATTTCAAAGGTAGTAGATCCCACACACTTTCAAAAATTTCCAAAATATTTCCAAAGGTTCTTATGTATTTTCATAGAGGTGTATTCATTCAGGGAAACATTTTTGACACATTTTCAATTCACAATTTTTGAAATTTTGTAGTTATACATTTCAAAGGTACTAGATCCCACACACTTTCAAAAATTTCCAAAATATTTCCAAAGGTTGCTATGTATTTTCATAGAGGTGTATTCATTCAGGGAAACATTTTTGACACATTTTCAAAACAATTTCACAATTTTTGAAATTTTGTAGTTATACACTTCAAAGGTATTAGATCCCACACACTTTCAAAAATTTCCAAAATATTTCCAAAGGTTGCTATGTATTTTCAAAGAGGTGTATCCTTTGAGGGAAACATTTTTGGCACATTTTCAAAACATTTCCACAATTTTTGAAATTGTGTAGGTAGTTATACTTTTCGATGGTGGTAGATCCCACACACTTTAAAAATTTCCAAAAATATTTCTAAAGGTTGCTATGTATTTTCAAAGAGATGTATCCTTTAAGTGAAACATTTTTGACACATTTTCAAAACATTTCCACAATTTTTGAAATTTTGTAGTTATTCTGTTATACACTTCAAAGCTCGCTTCAAAAGTAGTAGATCCCACATACCTTCAAAAATTTCTACAAATTTCCAATGGTTGCTATGTATTTTCAAAGAGGTGTATCCTTTGGGGGAAACAGTTTTGACATACTGTGTTCTACACATTTTCAAAACATTTTCAATGGAGGTGCCTCAAGGTTTGATTTAGGAATACCTTTTATTTTGCACCTACATTTTCGTTGCCATACCAACTGTACTGTTTCAGATCGCACAATGCCATCACTTTTACGCTGAGACGAAACCAAAACGGCCACAATGACTTACTCAAGCGCTTCAATCGACAACTTGTACCCCGCCCTGGCGGCATGCTTCGTTATCATTATTTGCGGGTAAGTACCCTCTCTCCCTCCTCCCTCGCTCCCTGCAATTCGTAACGCCCCCTGCAATTCGTAACGCCCCCAGGTATTTCGCGGGAAGAATGAATTTAATATCTGAAACCGAATCGAAGGGCATAAACACTTTCGTGGGCACCTTCGCCTTGCCCTCCTTAATTTTCATGTCGCTAGCCAGACTCGACCTGTCCTCCGTTAATTGGATGTTCCTCGCCTCGATTTTTATAGCGAAAAGCGTGGTATTTTTCTCTGTGATAATCGTAACGATTTTGGTGGGGAGGCCGATCAACCTCGGCCGCGCGGGAATCTTCGCGATCTTCTGCACGCAAAGCAACGACTTCGCGATCGGGTACCCGATCGGTAAGTATCACCTCGGTTGGGGGGTCGCTCGGCTGACCTCCCTCTTTCAGTTGCGGCGCTTTACAAGGATTCCCACCCCGAGTACGCCTCCTACCTTTATTTAGTGGCCCCAATCAACTTGGCCATTCTGAATCCGGTCGGCTACATTCTCTTGGAGATTAACAAGCAACGAACGGAGAGTGAGCCGCTTTTGAGACTGGGCGATGGCGCATCGGCGCAGAATGAGAAGCGCTGCCGACTTGTCGTCTCCATTACGAAAAGTATCTTCACCAATCCGATCGTGGTGATGACCCTCTTGGGGATTTTGGGGAATTGGATTTTTAAGCACGATGTTCCTCTGTTCTTGGCTAAAATTTTGGACGTAAGTAGCCCGATGAATAAATGCAAAGCTAACCTGTCCGCCCCAGGCGTTAGGATCGGCCTTCTCGGCAAGCGCCCTGTTTTTGCTCGGCTTGCGAATGGTCGGTAAGGTGCACAAGCTGAGAGGACCCACCTTGGTCGCTCCCGGTATTTTAATTGTGGCCAAACTGTAAGTACTTCTAGTTGGAGTACCAATGTTGAAATATCCATTTTCTGACTGTACAATATGCTTTCATCTTCCCATTTGTCTCCAAATTTTCCTGGAATCTTCAGCTCATGGAAATCTTTGTATCAAAACTCATCCATCCCCCCCCCCCCCCCTTCCTGTCAGTGAATGTTGTGCTAAGCGCAAATTTTAGTCCAAGGTCGTGGTCTGAGGTTTTCTGGTAACGTAACTTTAGAGTAACCTTGTTTTATGGTGCAAGGTTGTGTCCTAGGATTTCTTCTGCAAAAAGTCACCAAGAAATGCTTTTGTTTTGAGGAATAAGGCCGTGACGTGTGATTTCACAGTACTGTAACCAAAGTGTGACCTTGGTGAAGATAGCGCAATGATGCTAAAAGGGTAATTTTGGATAACCAAAAGAGAAACCCTACTCTTACGAAATGACAAATTATGCATTTCAAATTTTACAAAGAAGAAAAAAGCAAAAGCGTTCAAGCAAAACAAAAAAATATTTGGGGTATATGATATGGTTCCGAATGCAAAAGTACCCTTATGGCATAACGCTTCACCAAAGTCACACATTAGTTACAGTACTGGGAAACCCAGGCCACTACCTTGCACCTCAAAACAAGGTCACTCCTTTGTTACGTAGCTATTTGTCGGGGAAATCCCAGGGTACGACCTTGCACTATAAAACTAGGTCCCTCCATATGTACGTAACCGGAAACTCACAGACCACGACCTTGATCCAGAATCCAAGGCCAAAATCTAGTAACACGACCTTGGGTCAAGGTCATCATAAGAGCAGAAAATTATAGTATGGTCAGACATACTTCATTGGTACTCCAACTCAACGGACCGGTTTTCAGCCTCGTCCTCCCCTTGGTTATTCGCGAGGTGGTAAGCTTACTGCGCGTTGGTTCCGACACCAACGAAACCGTCGACTGGAGCACCTACGGGTTTCTGTACGGGACGATCCCGGCGGCGCCCACCGTCTTCGTCTTCGCGACCCAGTACAACCTGGACGTCGATTTGGTTTGTAGAGCGAGCCGATTTGAGTTTCTCTGTGATTGGTAGATTTCAGATCGCGACGGCTATGGTAATCTGCACGTTCATCAGCGCCCCCTTGATGTTCATCTCGGCGAAAATGATTACGCTCACGAATACCGATCCGGTCGACTACATCGTCAAGCTGGACGCCTTCACCTTCGACGTTAGCATCGCCGGTCTCATCGCCTGCGTCTGGATAATCGCCGTCTTCTTCATAACCAAACGCATCAACCGAGTCCCTCATCGCATCACCACGTGCTTGGTCCTCTCGCAGGTGGGTCAGATTGCGCGCGTCGACGGTGGCTCACCGTTTTCTTTCAGTTCTTAAGTTGTCTCGGCGCAATTCTGTGGAACACGCTGAACGAGAAGGAGGGGTGGTCGGCGTACCTGCAGTTCGCCCTGGTCACGACGGGCGTCTACAGCTCGCGAATTTGGACGTCGTTCTTGGCGATCACGCTGCTACTGTTGCAGTGTCGCAGTTTGTGTTACGTCCTAAAATTGCAACCGCTGTTCGTGATAGTCGGGTGGTGGTAAGTCGTCCTTTGCTCTTGTGGCAAACGCCTATTTACAGTTGCGTCATTTGCCAGCCTGCCGGTGACGCTCTCCGCTCTCTTTTTACTTCTAGACAAGGAAAACTCGGTGTCATACGACAAGCGTAATCCCAATTTCATATACGGAGCGGGACAGGCGGTTGTGGCGGTGTTGTTGCTGACGTCATGCTTTATAAGTAAGTTTTGTCGATTTGATTTGGAGTAAACCGTTTCAGGGCACTAGTACAGGGCTGCAGAAATCCTATAACTCTCTGCATGCCCGTTCTCTAATTTACCCGTGTCATTAAAGATAAAAAACGCATTTTTTACATTCTCGCTATGGACTTTGGGGTAGGTAGCGGGCGGGGGGATGGGTCAAAACGCCCTCCAATGGTCATTGTAAAATTTTTTCGAAGACATCGTGGTAACCGTGCTCGCTTTCCTCAATACATTTCGTGTTATCGCTAGACATATTTTAGTTCATGTTCGCTATGAAGCGGTACATGCGTAAATTTTCGTACACTGAACAAAATAAACATTCGGAACATTTTTCATCCTAAAGCTGGTCGTTGGAAACCTCATTCTGAAATCTTAAAAATGGAAGGTGGGCCGCGAAAAGTGGAACATAGAAACTAATCAGAAAATTGCAAACCAGAATCTGAAAATATGGAAGATGTGATTGCGGATTCTGGAATAGTTAACTTGGAAACTGTAAGCGTAAAGCTTGAAGGTCGTGAGAGCCTTCAGCCTAGATTTTACAGTTATAAGGGTCTTCGGAGAATGTGGAACTTTAATAACACAAGGGCTTTGAGTCATTAGAGTTCTCAAGATTTTCGAAAAAACGCCATTCGTAGCCTTCAAGATCTTCAAATTATTTAGATCCAAACTTTTCAAATTCATCGGACCTTCGAGAGGTTTCAAAGTGTTGTTTTCACAGGCTTGATAACCCTGAAGGTCTAGTAGATGCTCACAATCATTGTTTATAATCTTCAAAAGACGTTATAATCATAGGAAAGCATCGATGATGTCGAAAATCTTCGGTCTACAGACCTCGGTTTTCAAGACTTTGGAGCTTTCGAATTCTGGAAAGCCTTGAAAAAGGTTTCAGGATCCTCAGAACCTGCAGGATCTTTAGAACCCTGGGAACGTTTCACATTGAGCTGTCAGCATTTTCGAGATATCAGAACTGTCGAGGGTTTGAAAGCCACAAAAATATTGACGGCTTCGATAACCTTTACAGTCCTCAGTCGTCAAATTTTTGAAAGCCTTGGAAAAAGGTTTCAGGGTTCTCAGAACCTTCAGGATCTTTAGAGCCCTGGGAACGTTTCACATTCAGCCGTCAGCATTTTCGAGATTTCAGAGCTGTCGAGGTTTTTGAAAACCAAGAAAATATTAACAAATTCGGAAACCTTTAGAGTCCTCAGTCTTCAAATTCTTGAAAGCCTTGAAAAAGGTTTTAGGATCCTCAGAACCTGCAGGATCTTTAGAGCCCTGGGAACGTTTCACATTCACCCGTCAGCATTTTCACGATTTCAGAACTGTCAAGGTTTAAAAACCAAGAAAATATTGACGACTTCGATAACCTTTAGAGTCCTCAGACGTCAAATTCTTGAAAGTCTTGAAAACAGGTTTCAGAGTTTTTAGAACGGTCAGGATCTTCAGAACCCTGGGAACGTTTGACATTCACCCGTCAGCATTTTCGAGATTTCAGATCTGTCGAGGTTCAAACACCAAGAAAATATTGACGGCTTCGATAACCTATCGAGTCCCCAGTCGTCAAATTCTTAAAAGCCTTGAAAAAGGTTTCGAAGTTCTCAGAACCTTCAGGATCTTTAGAACCCTGGGAAAGTTTGACATTCAGCCGTCAGTATTTTCGAGATTTCTGAACTGTCAAGGTTTAAAAACCAAGAAAATATTGACGGCTTCGATAACCTTTCAAGTCCCCAGTCGTCAAATTCTTAAAAGCCTTGAAAAAGGTTTCGGAGTTCTCAGAACCTTCAGGACCTTTAGAACCCTGGGAACGTTTGACATTTAGCCGTCAGTATTTTCGAGATTTCTGAAATGTCAAGGTTTAAAAACCAAGAAAATATTGACGGCATCGATAACCTTTTAGAGTCTTCAGTGTTCAAATTCTTAAAAGCCTTGAAAAAGGTTTCGGAGTACTCAGAACCTTCAGGATCTTTAGAACCCTGTGAATGTTTGACATTTAGCCGTCAGCATTTTCGAGATTTCTGAACTGTCAAGGTTTAAAAACCAAGACAATATTTACGGCTTCGATAACCTTTCAAGTCCCCAGTCGTCAAATTCTTAAAAGCCTTGAAAAAGGTTTCGGAGTTCTCAGAAGCTTCAGGATCTTTAGAACCCTGGGAACGTTTGACATTTAGCCGTCAGTATTTTCGAGATTTCTGAAATGTCAAGGTTTAAAAACCAAGAAAATATTGACGGCTTCGATAACCTTTCGAGTCCTCAGTCGTCAAATTCTTAAAAGCCTTAAAAAAGGTTTCGGTGTTCTCAGAACCCTCAGGATCTTCAGAACCCTGGGACCGTTTGACATTCAGCCATCAGCATTTTCAAGATTTCTGAACTGTCAAGGTTTAAAAGTCAAGAAAATATTGACGGCTTCGATAACTTTTCGAGTCCCCAGTCGTCAAATTCTTAAACGCCTTGAAAAAGGTTTCGAAGTTCTCAGAACCTTCAGGATCTTTAGAACCCTGGGAAAGTTTGACATTCAGCCGTCAGTATTTTCGAGATTTCTGAACTGTCAAGGTTTAAAAACCAAGAAAATATTGACGGCTTCGATAACCTTTCGAGTCCTCAGTCGTCAAATTCTTAAAAGCCTTAAAAAAGGTTTCGGTGTTCTCAGAACCCTCAGGATCTTCAGAACCCTGGGACCGTTTGACATTCAGCCATCAGCATTTTCAAGATTTCTGAACTGTCAAGGTTTAAAAGTCAAGAAAATATTGACGGCTTCGATAACTTTTCGAGTCCCCAGTCGTCAAATTCTTAAACGCCTTGAAAAAGGTTTCGAAGTTCTCAGAACCTTCAGGATCTTTAGAACCCTGGGAAAGTTTGACATTCAGCCGTCAGTATTTTCGAGATTTCTGAACTGTCAAGGTTTAAAAACCAAGAAAATATTGACGGCTTCGATAACCTTTCGAGTCCTCAGTCGTCAAATTCTTAAAAGCCTTAAAAAAGGTTTCGGTGTTCTCAGAACCCTCAGGATCTTCAGAACCCTGGGACCGTTTGACATTCAGCCATCAGCATTTTCAAGATTTCTGAACTGTCAAGGTTTAAAAGTCAAGAAAATATTGACGGCTTCGATAACTTTTCGAGTCCCCAGTCGTCAAATTCTTAAACGCCTTGAAAAAGGTTTCGAAGTTCTCAGAACCTTCAGGATCTTTAGAACCCTGGGAAAGTTTGACATTCAGCCGTCAGTATTTTCGAGATTTCTGAACTGTCAAGGTTTAAAAACCAAGAAAATATTGACGGCTTCGATAACCTTTCGAGTCCTCAGTCGTCAAATTCTTAAAAGCCTTAAAAAAGGTTTCGGTGTTCTCAGAACCCTCAGGATCTTCAGAACCCTGGGACCGTTTGACATTCAGCCATCAGCATTTTCAAGATTTCTGAACTGTCAAGGTTTAAAAGTCAAGAAAATATTGACGGCTTCGATAACTTTTCGAGTCCCCAGTCGTCAAATTCTTAAACGCCTTGAAAAAGGTTTCGAAGTTCTCAGAACCTTCAGGATCTTTAGAACCCTGGGAAAGTTTGACATTCAGCCGTCAGTATTTTCGAGATTTCTGAACTGTCAAGGTTTAAAAACCAAGAAAATATTGACGGCTTCTATAACCTTTTAGAGTCTTCAGTGTTCAAATTCTTAAAAGCCTTGAAAAAGGTTTCGGAGTACTCAGAACCTTCAGGATCTTTAGAACCCTGGGAACGTTTGACATTTAGCCGTCAGCATTTTCGAGATTTCTGAACTGTCAAGGTTTAAAAACCAAGACAATATTTACGGCTTCGATAACCTTTCAAGTCCCCAGTCGTCAAATTCTTAAAAGCCTTGAAAAAGGTTTCGGAGTTCTCAGAACCTTCAGGATCTTTAGAACCCTGGGAACGTTTGACATTTAGCCGTCAGTATTTTCGAGATTTCTGAAATGTCAAGGTTTGAAAACCAAGAAAATGTTGATGGATTCGATAACCTTTAGAGTCCTCCGTCGTCAAATTATTGAAACCCCTGAAAAAGGTGCCAGATCCTGTAGGACCCTAGAAACGTTCGTCAAATTCTTGAAAGCCTTCAAAAAGGTTTCAGGATCCTCAGAACCTTCAGGATCTTTAGAACCCTGGGAACGTTTCACATTCAGCCGTCAGTATTTTTGAGATTTTAGAGCTGTCAAGGTTTTGAAAACTAAGAAAATATTGATGGGTTTCGATAACCTTTAAGTCCTCACTCTTCAAATCCTGGAAAGCCTTAAAAAAGGTTTCAGAGTTCTCAGAACCTTCAGGATGTTTAGAACCTTGGGAACGTTTGACATTTAGCCGTCAGCATTTTCGAGATTTCAGAATTGTTGAAAAATACATTTTTAATCCTAAAGCGACCACCACAACTGGAAACTAAAACTTGAGAGCTCAAAAGTATGCCATGAATCCCGTAAGTTGGATGTTGGAAACCTAATTCTGAAATCTTAAAAATGGAAAATGAGATCCAAAAACTAGAAAAGAGAAACTAATCTGGAAATTGTGATTCTGAAACTGAAAAATAATGTCATTTGGAAATTGGAATCCTGGAATTGGAGTTACAATCTGAAACTTTGAGCTAGAATGTGAATCTTGGAAGCTAGTTCCAGAAACTTGGGAAACTGGAATCTTTGAATTTAGAATTCTACATCTGGATACTTAAAAGTGGAATAATGAAAATAAAGGCTGTTATCTGAAGATTAGAAAGTGAAAAGTTTAATCTAGACTCCGAATAATAGAGTAAGAAAACTGGAATCTGAAGATGGAAACCTCAGGAAAGTTACGAATGAAAACAGAAAACTTAAGAATTCTTGTTTTTAAAATGGTAAATTGGTAGGTAATTTAAGGGGGGGGCGGGGGGGGGGGAGTTGATTCTGCGCATGCGAGTTCAATTGTTTACTAGTATGACTTACAGTCAGAATTTTAGGAATTTTGATTCTACGCATGCGCGTGCCACTTTCATTACCTACCTTAATATAAAAAATCTGCGCATGCGCAATTTGCGTTTAACGTCACAATTCCAGTACAATCTCCGCAATCATGAAAGTTAATTCTGCGCATGCGCGTTCCATTTATTTTTATTAGCAGAATTTATCATCACAAACCGGAACATATTTTTCAGTAATAATAATAATTTTGCGCATGCGCGCAGTTGGTCTACTGCCCCAAGTGACGCGAAAATAAAGGCACAGCCTCTAGAATTCCCCCTACCGCAACTGAGTAATGAGGAGTGGCTATCTTACTCCATTTCAGTAACCGTGGGTTGTTTAATACTGCACCAGAGGTACAGCCGCCATTATTCACGCTATCGCGACTTGGCCGACGACGTCAGTTCGACGTTTAACACCTCGGAAAGTTCCGAAACGCTCAACGGCAACGCGGCGACCTCCTCGCTTCAGAACAGCAGCTGCGGAAGCTGCGACGGCAAGACCAGATCGTGCGCGCTTCCGACGATCCAGGAGGGATGCTGCGAGGAGAACACCGACGGTCCGGTCGTCGACATCGAAGACTTGCTCGGGGATTCGCCCGCATTGTAGGTAAGTCGGTGGCGGGTTCGGCTTGACCATCCTTTGTCTTAGGCCGGCCGGTAGTGGCCTATGTCCGACGCACTACGCGTGTCAAGGACCGCAGAGGGAGCACTGTCGCGATCTAGTCGAACAGTACCAGCAACAGATCAGCAACGACGTCGAATACATCGAAGAGGAGCCGGAGAGTCACGACCCGCAGATCTTCAAGCACACGGTCTTACTCATACTGCTGCTGTGCTCCACGTTTGTCGTAAGTTATCGCGTTGGCCGAGAGGAACCGATCGCGAGGTGTTTTTAGGGACTCGCCCTGTCCATATGGACGCTGGTCATGGACAAAATGTCGGGCGTCTACGTCGAACTGGCATTCCTAGACGCCGCCCTCAACTTCGGGCAGAGCATCATCGTCTTCGCGATCTTCGGCACGAACACCAAGGAGATCGCGCTGCCGCTACTCGACCTATGGCGGAAGCTCTGGTTCGGCGCGAACAAACTGAACCTGCCCTCGTGGCACGAGCTTGGCGCCGAAACGAAGACGATCTGCGACCAGTTCACCACTCACCATCTGCAGAAGTGCAAAGAGCAGATCGCCAGGGATAAACGGTAGTTAGGACCGGTGCCGCGGTTAACTCACCCTTTCTCGTTACAGATGGAGGATAAAGGTATATAGAAATGTTTTCTCGGGGAGGAGGTTCGCCGATTGGTTAATCGAGGTGGGGTTGGCGCGCGACCGGACCGAGGCCGTTAATTACGCTCGGCATTTGATCGAGGGTAGAGTTCTTAAGCACATTAACGGCGTTTATCATTTTCACGATAGAAACTTGCTGTACAAATTTAATTGCTTGTAAAATGCCTACCAACGTGGTTCGGTAACCAAATTTGCGATGCACGTTATTGTCGCTTTTATCAAACCAAAGAGTCTTTGTGATTGTTTGTCCGACAGAGCATATTTTTGTATATTTTTTTTGTTACTTTTACCGATTAGAAGAGAGCGCGTGATAAATCGTGAATCTCAAAAATGCTTGTTAGTTTTTCGTTTTGGGTACAAATTTCTCTTTTTAATCGTGAAGGGATGATTGTACTTTAAGTGTATGTGCCATAGAGATTCGAGACGGAGATGCAAGGGGGTAACACATGCGGATGACGGCATGTGTGATCTCCTTGCCGTAATCAATGTATATATCATTTAGCACAAATGGCTTAATATGGTGCATGCACGCGATACGTACTAATAAGGTTGTGATTTATGGATAATAAAATGACAGTTGACTATTGTAAATATTCTCAAGTTTTGTACTGATTTGCAAATTGTTGAAGTTTTAGTATTTCGGCTAGCTATACGAGATCTCAATGTATACGGCCATTACATTGACATTTCTCACGAAGCCGATGATTCTTTATGTATTTATGAAGTCTAATAAAAATAATAAAGTCTGGATATCATTGAAAGATGACTCCTGAAAAAAATCCTGTGTCCATCTCACTGGGAACTAAAATGGACGCGTATCCCATCCCGCATATTTTGGTAATTTAGGATTCGTTATTTTATTTGTGCCATCTTTCTCCTTTTGTTTTACTATATCGTTCTTGTTTTTCTTCCCCCCATTTTTTTTCCGTAGGATCCGTTTGGAACATTAAAATCCTCTTACAGCTGTTCAGTTTTTCTCTGAAACTCTTATATACGAGCATCCTGGAATTTGTTACCTACTATCTTCAGCAATATATACGGCGGGACTTCCTATAAGTAGTGGATTTACCGTATTTATTAAGGTCTGCTATCTTCTACATTCTAAAACATTTAGCCCTGAGAACTCTAATAGTTTTTGAGAAGATTATCAAGAAGTGGGACAGAGAACGTAGTAGTGTGGGGGGGGGGGGGGTAATGGAAAACGATGGATCCATAATTTTACGATTAGGAATCACGGGTAGCAAACAACTACTCTTGAGTTTTTAACAATAGGTATCTCCTTATGGTAACTAAAATATACTGGCGCGCTCAATCAGTTCGTCCACGATCACGGCTCTTTATGCGAAATAAACGAATCGTTCTATTTACTGGACAATTTGGTCACCTAAATTTTTTACACCCGGTATACTTTCTACGATATACGGTTAAACTCGAAGAATCGAGGCCGCAGATAGGGGGGGTTAGAAGCCCCATCCAAAAGCTAAGGGCTGTTGGGAGGAGGGGGGAGGGTGTAAAGTTTGAAACGAAAGTTGACCTTTACCGACGTAACTCCGCTTTATACGTCGCGACCTAGGAAAAACTTACAATTGGGCAAATATGACCTCAAACGTCCCCCAACTGACGGCATACCATCCGACCCGGACCGAAGGAGGTGACAAGGGGGAATTTTCGAACGAAATTCGAGTTATCAAATAATCGCCTATAAACAATATTTACGGAAGTCGAGTCCCATCCCTACCTACCCACCCCTACCCTCCAATAAACGGCATTTTTTTTTTAATTTTTGGCGTTTATTCGGGAACGACGAGGGACAGAACGATGCGGTTTTTTGAATATGGTCTCTCATATTTTTCGTCCACATTCTAGAATCGATGGTAATTTGGGCACATGTGCGAGGCGAGGCGGCGCAGTCGCCGAAACCGAGCGATGTCTTTTTCTTTGTTTCAATGTGCGAGAGTTAAAACGGTCCCGATTTTTACGTTGGTCATCGTTTAAGATCGTAAAAGATGAAGCGTGTTTAGGGCAATGTGAGAAAAAGTCAAATGGGGTGGTGGTAGTGAAGGGAGAAAATAGGAGAACAAACCAGTACCGGAAACTTACGTCGAATTGGAATGACGAATGAAAAGGAAAAAAAGAGAAAAAAAAGCAGTTCAGAGCAAAAAAATAGAAAATGGAGTGATGATACGAAAAATTGAAAGGAAGTGAACGGACACAGAAACATGAAATGGCCAGAGAAAAGCAGCCTATGTAAGAAGAAAAAAGGAAAACAGAAGATACAGGGCACGAATAAACAAGAAAAGAAACTGAAAAGGATTAGAAAGCGGGAGTTAAAGAAGACAAAATAGAAGTTGAGTAGTGGAAAACATTGAAATAGATAGATAAAAAGTGCAATGGATAGAGAAGGAATCGGGAAAGGGAATGGGATCAGGAAGAAGAAGATAGAACAAAAGCGCGAACACACAATGGGGAAGGTAAAAAAGTCAAATGAAAGAAGAAAAAGCAGAAGAAGGGGCAAAAGGACGAAAGAGTAAAAAAAAGTTCGAAACAGAGAAAAGAAAAGGAAGGATGGAGGGAAGGAATGTGCAAAAATACAATGAGAACTGAAAGCTTGTGGAATCAAGTAGAAAAGAGTAGAGGTAAAGAGGACGTAAAAAAACAGGCAGGGTCAAAGAGAGAGGATGAGGAAGGTAAACTCAAAAAGGGAAACGCTAGGGGCAGAAAAAGAAGAAATGAAACGGGGATAAATGTGCCCTTCTCTGTTGAACGGGCTTTGGTTCCTTTCATTATGCGCCTTTCCTCTTCTTTATCCTTTCCTCATTTTCCTTCCTTTTTTCAGCTTAAATTTATCTTCTGCTGTTTCCTTTCAATTCTCCATTTTGCCTTTAGCTTTAGGTTTAACTCTGTTTTTCTTTAATTTTTTGTTCCCTCTCCCCATTTTCCTCCTCGGTCATTTGTGTTTATCCGTTGATTTTCGCCTTCTCTTCTCCACTACATTCCGGTTTAATACATCTACCTCGTCCTTTTTTCTCATCCTTTACTTATATTCCATACTAGTTGTTTATCCTTTTTTACCTCTTTAACGTTTTTATTTGATTGTTTTACCATTTTCCTGCACAATTCAGCTCAGCCTTTTTATGAGTCTTACCCTCGGTCTTACCCTTCCTCTTTCGCACTTCTATCCTTTTCTTTTACGTTGTTGCTTTTCCTTTCTCCGTTCCATCTTCAACTTGCTTTTTCTCTTTCCAAATTCAATTCCACTTTTCTTGTATTATCCTTCATTGGATTTTCCTGTTCATTGTTCCTTTTTCAGTTTGCTTTGACCATACATTCTGTTCACGTTTCCCCTTTCCTACTTTTGCCATGCCCTTCCTTCATCACCTCACTCCAATTTTACTTTAATAGGTTTTACGTGTACCTTGCGCTCACTTTTCCTGGCTATTTCCGTTTCCGCCGCTTTTTCATACTTTCCCTTAGGTTTACTTTCCCTTTTTTCGATCCTATACTCTTCTTAGGCTTTATATTCCTTTCTGACTTTCACTTATTATTTGTACTTCATCTTTGGACTCCTCATTATTCGATCCTTTTAACGTCCCCTACATATCTCCATTTCGTTGCAGGTTTCTATTCTCACTTTTTCTGTGTATTTTTTTTCAATTTATGCGGTTATACCTCTCCCTTGCTGTTTTGTTTCCTCCTTGGGTTCCCTCTTTTCTTTGCATTGTTCCCCACTTTTCACTCACGCATGTTTTCTCTTTCTTACATTTCGTTTCAGCCGAACAGCCACTTTCATTCCCTTTTCAGATTTCAATTCATCTTCATTTTAGTTTTTAGTTCCACTTCTTTTACTTTTGTTGTCCTTATTACCTATCATTTCTCTTCTCTAATATCTCACTTCAGTTTTGTTTCAGTTTACTTTTCTTTTTATCTTCTATCTCTCCTTCCTTTTTTCTTTCCCCCGCTTCACATTTCTCTCTTTTCCTATCCCTCTTCTAACTATACTAATTCTCTTTTATTATCCTCCATTGCTTTGTTCTGTGTAGCATCATCTTTCGTGTAGTCGTACCCTTCGCCTTTTCCTCATTCACCTTATTCCCATCCCCCTTACTATACATTCTTCATTTTTGTCTCATTCACCATTACTGATCGTCTCCTCGTCGTTCTCCTCCACCTAAACTGACACTTCCTTCAATTTCCATTTCATTTATCTTTTGCTATTCTCTTTCCTTTCCATTCAGTTCCCTATTCTCCCATTATATTTCCCTTTTTTGGCTTTATATTCCTCTTCCTTTATGTCTTTTTGCACGTATTATTCCGTATGCTTATTCTGATCTCCACTTTCCTCGTCTTTCCTCAGAGCATTTTTCATAAGTTGAGCAATGTGTCAATAACGGTTCTATAAAAAGCGTGAGACTGGGCGGCATCTACATCTACATTAGGGATTTTATGTAACCCCCCCCCCCCTCCATTTCCCATTGCCTTCAGAATGTTCTTTCTTCATATTTCGGCGTTTATTCGGAGACGCTAAGGGTTAGAACGGATGCAGTTTTTTACATTGGTCTAATATATTAGTCGTCCGCAGTCTAGAATCGATGGCGATTTGGGTACAGGCGCGAGGCGAGGCGGCCTAGCCGCCGAAACCCAGAAATACCTTCTTCTGTGTTGCAATGTGCGAGGCGAAGTCGAGCAATGTGTAAACGGTTCTATAAAAGAATGGTGGCATCTAGATTAGGGTTTTATGAAAACCTCCCCCTCTCCCCTTGCCTTTAGAATGGATTTTCTTTATATTTTGGCATTTATTCACAAACGCTGAGGGTTAGAACGATGCAGTGTTGGTCTTCACTCCGCTTGCACGAGCGCAATGCGGACAACCTCCACCGTCTTCATGGAAGCCCTTTTGCGTCTGCCTCAGCTAGATTTCCACGTGACGGAGGAGGCCAATCTGCCATCCTTGCATGTCAAAGATAAGGGATTGTTCAATAACTAAGATGGGCCACTCTCGAATTCGATTCCCGAAACCCACCCTTCGGAACCGCGGGGGGGGGGGGGGCAAACGAAGCGCGTTTACCAATTTGGTGGAATTTTCTATCGCCGAAAAACGTCAAGAAGAATGAATGGATTATAAATTGTTGGTGACAATAAAATTATTTTAAAATCTATTTTTGTTCGAATTTTACAGAAATAGTTAAAAGTTGAATTTTTTAGGGGTTAACGTTGTTTAGGCATTACATATCATTGAAAGTATACCGGGTGTAAAAAATTTAGATGACCAAATTTTCCAGTAAATAGCACGATTCGTTTATTTCGCATAAAGAAGAGCCGTGATCGCGATCGAGGACGAACTGATTTAGCGCGCCAGTATATTTTAGTTACCATAAGGACATATTAAAACTCAAGAGTAGTTGTTTGCTACCCGCGATTCCTAATCGTAAAATTATGGAATCATCGTTTTCCATTCCCTCCAGACCCCCCCCCCCCCCCCCTTCTGCGTTTTCTGCCACACTTCTGTTAGTATAAGAGATAATCTTCTGAAAAACTATTATAAGAGAAATACCCCTCAAAACACAGGAGTACCGTCAACAAAGAATGACTCGATAATTCCTTCTCTACTTCTCTTAGCTCTCGCACGATAATCTTAGGGAGAAGGTAATGGAATCATTGTTTCCTGGGGGATATTCCATACTTCTTCAGACCCCCCGGTTGCACGTTCTCTGTCGTACTTCTTAGTAGAAGAGGATCTTCTCAAAAACTATTATAAGAGTTCTGAGGGCTAAACGTTTTATGGGGGAGAACATAGCACCGAAGGGTGTAATACCCCCCAGCTTCAGAGGAGTATCCTCAACAAAAAATGGCTCGATAATTCCTTCTCTATTTCCCTTAGCAGGCGCACGGTAATCTTAGGTAGAAGGTAATGGAACCATTGTTTACTGGGAGGTATTTATATAATAACTCTCGGACCCCCCGGTACTACGTTCCTGTTGTACTTGCTGGTAGAAAAGGATGCGATAATCTTCTCAAAAACTATTAGAAAAGTTCTCAGGGCTAAATGTTTTATGGTGTAAAACATAGCACAAGACCTTAATAAATATGGTAAATTCACTATAGGAAGTCCCGCCGTATATGTTGGTGAAGATAGTAGGTAACAAATTCCAGGATGCTCGTATATAAGACTTTAATGTGTTTTAGACTTTAGAGGAAGATTGAACAGCTGTAAGAGGATTTTAATGTATCATTTTTTAAAAAGGGGTCTTACAGAAAAAAAAGATGGAGGGAAGAAAAACAAGAGCGATATAGTAAAACAAAACCAGAAAGATGGCACAAATAGAAAAATAAACCAAAAATGGAGAAGTGTTTTATTAAAATTAAATATAAGTGTATAAAGCGAAAGGACCAAACGAAAAGAAAACGGGAGAAAAGCACACACAAACATAAAAAGATGGAAAATTATTTACAGAAAAAGAAAACATTTAGATTTTTAGCCATACAAAGGGAAAACAAAGGGCTAAACAGTCTGTAAAGAAACAAAAGGTACATATAAGGGATGAAAACAAACGGAAAAAGATGTATAATGATGAAAAATTATAAATAGATATAAAAAAAGTATCTACATGTAAAAAATGGGAGTGGTAACTCGCTTTTAAGTTAGCACCCCCAGTTTAAAAATCGGTTTTCCGATAACCGACCATTTTTCTTTCAAAATCGACATATGCCAGATATCCTTTTCAGTTAAAATAATGGAAGTTCTATTTTGGCCGTGTTTGCCTACGTTCTCTTCCACTCTACAATTAATTTCGACAATTTACAATCGACGAATAATTTACCGCCATTAAAATTGAATTTTTAACCGGCAATTTATGAATATTATACTAAAAAATGACCCATGATTGACGTATGCGCCGTATTTTTCTCATCATTAATATTTAACGTGTTTATATAAAATGGGGGTAATTTCCCCCAAAGTGGAACATTTGAGAATGGCGGTCTTGGCGGTAGATCCCAAAGGTAATCGCGACGAGTTCGCCTTGCACAAGACTTTGTTGAATTGTCTGGGGTTGAGGTTTCGAAACGACGTGACGAAGATCCGTAAGTTGCACTTGCTGCTGCTGATCTTCGTGGTCGCCTCGTATTCGGCGATCGAATTGTGGGAGCTCATTGCGAATGTGGACGATTTTGATATTGTCACCAACATCCTTTTGCACTTGATTGGGTTTTATATGGGTACGGAGGTGGGGGCAGGAGTAACCGTGACCTAAATCGCGAATTTTAGGCATCGCGAAGATGCTGCTGTTGTTCCTCCAAGCCGACAAGCTAAATGTGGTACTTCGCGAGCTGGAAATCGGTGAGTTATCGGTGACACGGGACGAGTACGAGGAGAAACTGGTGGTTCAGTGCACCATGAAGACCAACAAACAGGTAGGCAGCCGGCTGGGAGCTCATGGTGCACCAGTGTTTCAGATCAAGTTCTGCTTCGGACCGCTTTACGTCGTCTTCGTTCTTTCGGCAATATTCGCCATGTCTACTAGACTGATCTTCTCCGACCGTTCGAAGTGGTCGCTACCGTTCACCCAGATCACAATAATCGACGTGACCAAGAGCCCCAACTTCGAGATTATTTGGTTCCACCAAACCCTGGCGTTCATCGTGGCAACCTGCGCGTACCTAATTTGCGAGGTTATGATTACGTCAGTCTTGGCACATCTTTGCATTCAGTGCAAGATTGTTGCGCACCGCGTCGAGAAGAGCGCCGCCCAGGTGAGTATCCCACTTCTGCGGCTGACATCACTAACCGTGATACTGAGGCTGAGGCACCCGTTGCGCGACACGTCGCCGTCTACAAGTGGAGCGGTAGAATCCAAGAGGCCTTCTCGCTGATTGTCCTGGTGGTCTTCGGCAGTGACGTTCTCATCATATGCTTCGCGTCGTTCCATGCATCACTGGTGAGTAGGTACCGCTCGAAACGTCTACACCTACCGCACTGATTTCAGTTTCCTTTAACCGACGCGCGATGCGTGCGCGATTTAGGGATGGCCGTGTCCGTTGCTGTGAAGACCTTAATAGTGTGTTACTATGGAAACGAGGTTACCATCGAGAGCGAGTCGCTAACCACCGTCTGTTTCCACGCGCACGTTCGAGTCTGGGATCGGAGCTTCCACAGAGCGCTGCTCATGATGATCAAGAAGACCCAGGAACCGATACAAATCGCAGCGGGAAACTTCGTACCGATCTCCTTGAGCACATTTATCTGGGTATGCCATCAGTAAAACGAATCTGCACTCATTTCCTCTTTGTAGATTATACGGTCATCTTACAGCTATTTCGCCGTTCTTCGCAGTCGAAACGATGCAATTTCTTCTTAATCAGTGATAGTCGAGATGGTGTACGTTTGTTGGTAGTGTAGGAGCAGAAGAACACAACTCAAAGTGCACTTTTGTATAGGGAAATAGAAAAAAGCGCAATTAGATCATATTATAAATCTTTGGACTGGATTGATATTGAAATTTGAAGTATCTTGAAATTGGAATCATGTTTAACGGTGAATTTAGAACCATTATTGACGATTAAATACAGTTCTATTGTAAGGATTCGAATGGTTTGGAGATTCATCGTTTAGGACTCGAAATATTTTGAGCAGTACGGTTAGCGCTCTCGTGACTCGAAACCAAGTGCTTTTAAAAATCTCCCCGGAATAATCCCTACCTATTCGTTGTCAATTAGCTAACGCCCTCTGATATCTGGTGATAGTGAAACATTTTTTTCATTATTGGCGTTATAGAATATAATAGGTAAGTAAAACTAATTAAGAACTCTAGCAGGTTGGAACCCACGATTTCCTAAAGCCATAAAAATATAAACATGCTATAGAGTTCAAATGACCATAAATATGATCACTAAACTTTAGTTGAACTCTCTAAAAATCTACATTTATTAAAAGTAAAAGGAACTCTACTTTCTCTCTACGTGCTTTCTACCTGCTTTCTCCTTTCCCTCTCAATTCTTGACTAACCATATATTTTCTGCATGCCTTTCTTCCGCATCTTTCCTTCATTTTTTTTCGACTTCTTGTAGTCTTCTAACCCCTCCCCCCCTCCTTAATTGATTAATAATATTTTATAATATTATTAATATTATATAATATTAATAATATTTTATTTAAAATAATTTTCTCGAATTTTAAAGAGTTAATTAATTATTAATTTAAATGTTCGCACGGTTTATAGATCTTTATATTGCCTGCGCATCATTTACCCTGTTATCCCCACCACTTTAAAGGGGTTCAAGTCCTTCCAGCATTCCTCGCCCTTTTTTGTATCTCCTTTGATTTGCCGCCGTTATTTACGTCTACTTTATTGATTTTTCTGGCTTCCCCCCCCCCCCTCTTTTTTCTTTGTATCTTATTTCATATGTTCACGTCTTCATTCGGCCCCCTTCCCGATCTATCACGCGTTATGTCTATCTCCTATACGTCTCTTTGAGGTTAGGTTTCCCTCACGTTTCTATTATTATATCTTTCGGCTCCCCCCTCCCCCGTTCATATTGTGCGCGACTTTTCCCTTCACTATTTTTCACTCCACCACGCTCCCATCGTGCTATTCCTCCAGCATTCCTCACCCAATATTCACAACTTTTCTTTCCTTCTTCTTTTTTGAAGTCTTTCATGCGACTCTTTGCTTCAGATTTCCCTCCATGCCCTTTTCACGTCTCGTTCACGCTTCCTTCACATTTCCTGGACTTTCCTACACGCCTCTTTTCATCCATTTTCCGACATTCTGCAAACGTCCCTTGCGAATTGAACCGACTCTCCATATTTTGGACTAGGATTTAATAATAAAATAAGCTTTGTATGCTATTTTATGTTTTCCGATAAGTGTGAAGCCGGGGGGAGAGCGAATGCTCTCTTTTTCGGTAACTGTACTCGGGACCTATGAACTACGAGAACGCGGACTAGTGTTAGGGGTTAAAATGAAGTTGGAGATTGGCCCCACTGACAGAATAATTATAATGTTTATTATTAGGGGTAGTTCAAATCAAATCAAATCAAAATTTAAGGCAGTATTTGTCCTTACTGTCAGCAGTAGTATACAATTTAAAACCCACCTGAAGCAGTTCTTTTGAAACCTTTATAACTACTTGCAAATTAATGTATTTATAACTCCATTAATTAATGTTAATTGAAAATAATTTTCCTTGTAGTAAATTCGCACTGAACATAATTAACAAACTGATTCAGAATGAATTTGGATTCTGGAATCTCCAATTTGCAATGAATCATTCTGGAATTGTATTTAATCTCGAATAAGGTTTATAGATTCGCCGTTAAACATCATTTAGGTAAACCGGGAACGATTCGAGTTTCAAAATGCAATTATTAAAATGCATGGTTCAAGATTCGCGATCCTTCAAGATCCATTCAAGATTCCCCAAGATCTAATATTCGAAATATTATAATATAAGATTACATTTTGAGATTACAGTATTACATCTATGTTGGTGCACACTAACACGTAAATATTTGTTTAGTGAATTATCTAATACAATTGTTCATTGACATCTGCTCTTAATCTTCAGTTGTTCACTCGTCTAAGTATCATCAGGTACGAGTACGAAGTGCGAGCAATCTGAAATGAACCCTGAGACCAGGTACACAAGCCTTAAGTGACTCACCCAAATGAACGTTCCGAGCGTCAATGCCGAAAACTTTCCAGCCGTGAACGTTATCGGCTTTTTGCTTCTTTCCATGATCAGCACGATGCCTTTTTGGAACCTCACGTCGGCCCCATAGAATTCCACCTCGTAACAGGCGTTACGTACATTTTGACTTGCGAGAGTGACCTCGTTACCCCAGTAACTTATCAAGATTATCTCGAAAAACACGCACATGGATCCCCCTACGTGCAACTAGAAAGGCATAACACGTTGACCCATTCGGGACGCTTACCCCGTTCAGCTTGTACAGCAAGGATCCGATAAGTACAATTCCCGAAAGCACAATGAGCAGCACGAGCAGGTTGAAGTTTTCCTCGATTTTGTTGGCAATGTCGAAGACGGCCAAATGGTACGTGACCGCCTCTTTCAAAGTCGGTCGTAGGTATTTCCACGGTATTTCGCTGGCGTCAGTCCCTGCTCGGGCGCCAAGTATAACGTCCTGAAACGTCACCTTGAGCCGAAACCCGGCACTAAACACACCCACCTGCTCCATTCTATTGCGGCTGTTCTTGATCATTTTCCGTATGAATGTCTGCAAAATCTTCAACTGGCACGTTATGTGCGCCAAAACGGTCACGGTCAGTAGGTCGGAGGTAGCGAAGGTCCAACCGATCGGGAACCAGGACAAGTTCTGGTAGAACGATGCGACTTCGTAGTTTGGACTGTAGGTCGTGTTAAACATCGTGACGCGGCCGTACTCGAATCTCCAGTCGTGGTGGTCGTCGCTTCGTATGCGCCAGTATATGGAATCAAGGAGGGCGAACACCACGGTGATGGTCACCACCGCCCAGTACATGATGGCCTACAACGAAAAGTTTCAGAGTAATTTGCAGGGTATGGAAAAACCTCTGAAAATACTGGACCTTGAATTCTCGCAGTGTTTTAAAGATTGTGTAGGTTTTGAATAGTTTAGAGAGACTCGACCTCAAGAGTTTGAAGATGTACCCTTAGAGCTCTACACGTTTGCAAGTTTTGGGATGCACTGAAGGCCGCAGGGTATGAAGGCTCTTATAGGTTCGAATTTCTCACGAACCTTAAGGGTTTAAAAAGTGCTTCGAGAGCTCGGAGAAAGCTCTAAAGCCTTTGAATGATAAAGGTTCTGCAGTTCTCAGATTTCGAAAGACGTTGTGAAGACTCTAAAGACTTTCAAGGTATTTATACTTTGGAGACTCTGAGCGCTCCGCATATTTTAAAGGCTCAAGGCCCTGAAGGCTCTCCAGGAACTCAAAAATTTAAAAATTATGAAAACTATCAAAAGGCTCAGAAAGCTTGGATCTCCTAGCTTGTGGCTCTAAAGGTTCCGAAAGGTTTCGAAGATTTGGAATTTTGGAAACGCTGACGATTTTGGACATTTTGAAAACTTCCACGGATCTGTGGCGGCTTTGACTGGTTTAGAGACCTTTAATGCTCTGAAGTTCACTCGAGGATCTTAACAATTTGAAGGGTTTGAAGTTTGTGAAGGCTGATCTGGGTGCGGAAATGTTTAAGTGTCCGTTTGAACACATTTCAGAGTTAAACCCCGAAGGCTTTTTAAGTCTTTCAAGAATTTGAGGACTCTAAAGGTTATCGAAGCCGTTAATATTTTCTTTGCTTTCAAAACCTCGACAGTTTTGAAATCTTGAAAATGCTGACGGCTGAATGGCAGGGTTCTAAAGTTTCTGAGGACTCTGCAGTCCGAACTGTCAAGGCTCAAAAGCCTATAAATAGTTTGAAGATTTAAAGGCTCCGAATTAAAATTTCTGAAAACCATGGAAACTCAAGAGACAGTTTGAATGATTGCAAGACTGAAGCCTTTGAGTGCGCTGGAAACAAACAAATCTGTGGATTTCTCAAAATTGCTAACTCAAGGCTCCCAAGGCCGTGAGGGCTGAACATTGAGAACTCTATAAAGCTCTCAACAATGATAACGCGCTATTTATGGACTGGCGACTGACTGATGCCAGAAAGAGGAAGGCTTCCGAGCTAAGGCTTTCAAGATCTTCAAGGCCCTGACGATACTTAAGGCTTTGAAGACTACTAAAAAGCTCGGAAAGCCTCGAAGGCAAAGTCTCTGAAAACATGACAAAGATTTTCAACGTTGTCAAGGCTTTCTTAAGATTGTAAGGTTTTTTTGAAGATTATTAAAGCATGTTTTAGACCTTTAGGGCTATAAAGGCTGTGAAAATTTTCCAAACTTTGAGGCTCTGAATTTTCTGAAGAATCTCGAGATTTTGAATAACTTGTCACCTTTAAGGCCTGTGTAAATGCTTCGAAGGCTCGAAGACTGTGAAGGCGCTCAAAATTCTGAACGCGCTAGAGGATCCCAAAGATCTAAGTGGATTGGAGATTGTGAAGGCTATAATGGGGCCGAGGCATTATGGAAGACACTGACGGGTCTGAAGGCTCAAGAATATGAAAACGTTTAAGGTTCGAAATGTTTTCTGAAGACCGACGATTCTGAAGGCTTTAACAGGGCCTTGAAGTCGCTGAAGAATGAAGACCATAAAGGGCTGAAGGCTCAAATCTAACAACTCTCCTAAGAGTCGCAGATCCTTGAAAGCTCTAAGGTTTGAATATTTCGGATGATTTTGCTGTCAAGGCTCTAGTGGATCAAGGATCTGAAGTGTCTGATGGTGAAGGCCGTGAATCTTCTGAGGGTTTTAGTTCTCTAAAATGACGACTGTGAAGGCTAGAAAAATGCGAACTCTCCAGAGTTTTCTTGGCTCTAAAGGCTTTGAAAGTGGTGTAACTAGAAGACCTTTGTTCTCAAGGCTCTGAAGAAAGACTTTGAAGGTCGCGAGATCGCGATGATTCTAAACTTTTTACCTTGAGGTTTATAACGGCCTTGGAAACGCAAAATAGGGCTCCAGCTCTCAAGTCTGTTTTTTTTTAAAGATTGAGGGTTGTGGACTCTGAGGGAGAAATGAAAAGAATTGGAATTGAGGAAAGATGCGGGAAATATAGTGGTAAAAGGTAGAGGAGAGAAGAGTTGATGGTGCGGAAGAGAGTGAGGAGAAGGGAGATGCAACGGAGGGGTGACAGAGGGAAAGGAAGAGTTGGATAGGAGGAGGTGAGCGAGGTGGCGAAGGAATCGGGAGCTGGCAAAGAGATAAGTATCTGGATGTGTGGGGAGAAGTCGGCGTAACGGCCTTAAAAAATCTCAAAAAGCTTTAAAATTTCAAGGCTCGAAAGACCTTGAAGGTTTTTGAAACGGAGTAATACGAAAAGCTTGAAGTCTGTCGAAGAGCGAGTATTCTGAAGGCTTTCAATACTCTGAACGCTCTGAAACTACAAAGACCAACGGCTCTGAAGGCTGAAGAACGAATGTTTTCAAGGTTCTCAAGGCTCTGATGATTCCGAGGACCCAAAAACTTTAAAGGACGAGAAGATTGCGAAAGCTCTGAATATTCTCTAGGTCTCCAGGGTAACAAAGGCTGTGAATACCCCCAACACTTCGAAATGTTTCGCGGCAACGGCGAATTTTAAAGGCGTGAAGGTTTAGAAGACCTTGAATGAATACGGTGACGTCACTGAAGACTATGAAAACCTCGATTGCTCTCTACGAGGTTTCAAGGCTTTCAATTTTTACAAGAATCAAGAAGGATGTGAAGGCTCGCAAGGTTTTGAAGACTCAGAAAGCCTAAAAGGCCACGTATTTTGAAGACTTTCAATAACTGTGAATACTCTCCGAAGACTATAGCTTCAGAAAGCTTTGAATCTTAAAAAGGCTTCTGAGTACTGATGGGCCTAAAAGCTCTTAAGGTCTGAGGGGCAACGTAGTGAAAGCTGAAAAGTGTGAAGCCTTTTTAATTTCTGAAGCCATCCAGGGCCACCCGCGGTAAATGCTGTGTACACTCTGAGGGCTGAAGACAGTTAAGGCTCTCAACAAGATTCTGAGGGCAAGAAAAATATGGGGGATGGGAGAGAGGAACACGAAAGGACAGGGAGGAAAACAAGAGAGTGGGGAGGGCGAGAGATTGAGAAGAAGGAAAGGAAGAAGAAGAAATGCGCTCACCTGTCGATCCATTAGGACAATGTAATCCCGTTTTATAACAAACTCTTCCACGCCGCCTCTCTCGCTGTTAGGCAGAAAGGGCTCGCTCTGCAGCCGTTCCAAGATCTCTCCCATAAACCTTCTCTTGTTCAACAAAACGACGGCCTTAATAAAAACTGAAAGGTAGGTACCTAGCATTGCGCGCCCAAAGAAAAAGGCCCCAATACTCACTCAAAGTCGTCACCGTTTGAAATATGAAGAACTCGAAGACCTCCGACCCGTCCTCCAGGTACTTGTGGGCGCCGATGTACTGAAAGAACGGGTAGAGATTCAGGCTGAGAATGAACGCCGAGTACAGCTTGTACGACCATTTCTCGTTCGGATAGAGCGATACTCCGCAGATTCGCAGCAGCGTCTTCAGCAGGTGGAATTGGTCGCCATGGGGGAGCGTGCGGAATTCGTCCGGCGCCGACATCTCGCAATGGTCGATTTCTCCCGCATGTCGCTCCTATATATAAATTCATTACGCCCTTAATAATTTAGTGGATATTTTTACAAAACCTCAGTCAGGTCCGCCTCCCTTACTACCGTCATTAGCGTATTAATAATGACCGACGAACGTAATTACACGGTTTCAATTGAACGTGGTCGAGTATAGAGCGTTGAATTTTGCATAGAATTTAATTACTTATTCCCGCTGTTCGGCATTAAGCTTAGAATTTAAAATTTGACGTTTCTATTCCTATAGTTTAATGCTCAAGCTAATTTTTCGCTGTACTCCAAATTCGCAACTCCTTCGCGAGTCGATGGTTTCCTGAAAATGGATGCTCTTCAACTTGTAAACCGACACTAAGTTACAAAAATCTCCGTAAGATTATTTATGCCAAACTCGCCTTTCTTCTCAATTCAACAAAAAGAATAGGTAGGGATAACAACAGAGAGTTTTCAAGGAAAATTGTCAGAATTCATGTTGGTAAAGTAATTCTTAACATGGAATGTAGAGATAAGGCGTGTGTGTGCACCAATATATAGAATTAAATCGCTGGGAACGTGAAAATATTGCGAGGTGCTCTTCTACAATAAATACTAACTAAAGTTATAACGACAGTGAGCGAACAAGTTATTCTACGTGTTCTCAGTCCGAGTTGAAAACTGTGAAGGAATGCAGAGAAGAAGCAAACTCGCACGCGTCGCAGTAATAAATTAATTACACCATAAAAACTTTCCATTTTACTAATGGTGACCAAAGAAAAGCAGCGCATTGTTAATTGTTTTTGCTTGCGATTTGTTTATGTGAAAAACTAGCGTCTTCTTTGTGACTTAAGCTTAGGATAATCCCACTCGCTCGCAGTTATTTTAATTTTCATTATCGAATTCATCTTCCGTAAGATTGCGCAAACTATGAAACTTTCGAGAGAAAACCAATCCGTTTTCCATGGAGTACGCGATTCTGCGCCCGTTAATTACTCCTGATTCAACGTCCTTTTGAAAATACGCCGCCGTGTATTTTTGTATGCCAATTCATTATTGTGCTTTTAAGGGTAAGGTGAATTAAATTATTACCATTTCAATAGCAAAAGGACATCTTTAAAGAATCTCCACTTTCGTAGTTAGAAATTGTTATTGGGATTCTGGGATACAAGAGAAGAATTCTCTCTGCGTTATTTCTGCACCAAATATTTCAACCCTAGAATGTAACAGCCGTTACAATTTGACGCTCAATGTTGGGCATTAAAAAAAGGATCGTTGCACATTCCGATAGGTTTGCGACAATTTCATTCTTAGCTAAATTTTGAAAGCTACATACTCTTGGAATTGGTTGCTCTATCTGGGTTTTTGGAGGTGCGATTTTGCGAGCTGTCAAATTTTTTGGATCTGTTTGAAATCTTCCCCTATTCTGATAGATCGGCCACAATTTCTTCCTGTGACTTTACATAATCTTCGAATTGATGGCTTTATCTTTGTTTCTTTTGGATTCTAAAGGCCAAAATGTAACAAACATCGGCCTTTTCTTTTACATCTGCTAACTGTTAAGGCAAATGTAATGGGCTCATCAAAAAATATAGTGTTGGTGGTAAGGGTACTAAACCTCTTAGGGACGAATGTAGAACCCGGCGGTCTGGGAGTATTGATACCCCCCCCATCCCCCTCCTGAAACGGACTGATGAATCAATCTTCAGTGCTCTACAACAGTCATAAGATATTTGTATACTGGAAGGTATTCCTCCCTCTCGACCCCCTGGTGCTACGTTCTCCTTCAAAACGTTCAGCTATAACGACTTTCTACAAAAAACATTTCGTAAGTGCTCAGAGTTCTAAACCTCAGGGAAGAATGCAGAATCTGGGGGTATGGATACCCCCCCCCCCTCTACGCCGAACAGACTGAATAAATCTTCATCTCCCTACCCCGGTTATAAGATATCGTATGCTGGGGGGTATTCCATACCCCCCAGACCCCCCGGTGATACGTTCTCCCTCGAAACGTTCAGCCCTAACGACCCTACAAGAATATTGCGTGCTGAGCGATGTACAACTCTTAGAGAAGAAAGTAGAACCGGATGGTGTGGGGGGGGGGGTATTCTATACTCTTCAGGTCCGTACCCCTCGGCCCTAAGGGAAAAAAGACAGAATCAATCTTCATTGCCCTACAACGGTCATACGATATTAGTATACTGAGAGGTATTCCATAACCTCCAGGCCCCCCGGTACTACATTCTCCCGCGTCTTCTTCCCTAAGAGTTTTAGAGCTCTTTAAAAAAAAACATAGTAGATCTAAACCTTTTAGGGAAGTATTTAGAACCGGGAGGTCTGAGGGATGTAAGCTTCTTAGGCAAAAGGGATAACCGGGAGGTATGAAACACCCCCTCCCCCCCCAGGTCCATGCTCACCAGGTAAGATATACAGAATCGGTCTTCAACCCCTACAGTCATAACATATTCGTATATAGGGGGGGGGGGGGGGGTATGGATACCCCTCGACTCCCACGTGCTACGTTCTTCATTAAGAAGTTTAGAGCTCTTTCCAAAAATATTGCGCTAGTGCTAAGGCCACCAATCTTCGGCTCTCAGGGAAGAATGTAGAACCGGGGGTTTGAGGGTATGGAACCCCCCACCCTCCCAAAACAGACTTAATCAATCTTCATTTCTCCACCACGGTAATAAGATATTCGTATACGGGAGGGGGAGGGGAATTTACATACCCCGCAGCCCCCCCCCCCCCGGACAAATGACCTCACACAATTCTACTGTCTTTTCTAAGAGGTTTAGATCCCTTAGAACTAACAGAATATTTTTTGGACGAGTCTTCCTCGAAACGTGCAGTTGTAATGGCTCTTTCCAGAAAATACTTGGGAGGTATTCAATACTCACCAGGCCCTCCGGTGCTACGTTCTCCCTCGAAACGTTCAGAGGTATGAACTACCCCCCTCCCCTGGAAAATTTTTTAGAATCAATCTTCATTTCCCTACAGCGGGCATAGGATATTCGTATACTGGGGGGGATATTGATACCTCTCAGACCTCTTGATCTTCTTCCCTAAGAGGTTTAGAGCTCTTTCAAAAAAAAACATTGTGGCTCTAAACCTTTTAGAAATGTATTTAGAACCGGGAGGTCTGAGGGTATGGAATCCCTCGCTTTCCCGGAACAGACTGAATCAATCCCCATTTCTCTACAACGGTCATGAGATATTCGTATAATACCCCCCACATCCCCCCGGTCTCTCTCGAAACGTTGAGCCATAACGACCTTTTCTAAAAAAAATTGCGTTAGTGCTAAGGAATGTAAACTTATGAGGGGAAAATGGAGAACGAGGTGGTATGAAACACCCCTCAGGTGTGGGGAAAAATGACAGAACCATAAGATATTCAGTGCTACGTTCCTCCTCGAAGCTTTCAGCTATGATAACCCGTTACAACGAATATAGTGTTAGTGCTAAGGGGTCCAAACCTCGGCTCTTAGGGAAGAATGTAGAACCGGTGGGTTTGGAGGTATGGAACCCCCACCTTCCCGGAACAGACTTAATCAATCTTAATTTCCCTACAACGGTCACAAGATATTTGTATACTGGGGGGGGGATGAAACGCCCCCAGACCCCCCGGTGCTGCGTTCTCCTTAACCATAATCATAAAAAATATTGTGATGGTGCTAAGGGATCTAAACCTCCTAGGGAAGAATATTGGACCGAGGGGCATGGAGCGTGTGGAACACTCTCCATGTCCATACTCTCCAGGAAAGAAAGACAGAATCAATCGTCATTTTCCCACAACGGTAATAAGATATTCGTATACGGGGAGTGAGGCGGGGGAGGGGGGGGGGGGTTAATACCCCAGACCCTCCTCGGTGCAACGTTCACCCTCGAAACGTTTAGCTATAACGATTCTTTCTAAAAAAAAGTGAGTAGTACCGGGGGATCTGGGGGTATGGAATCTCCCGCTCTCCCGGCACAGACATAAAATTTTCGTATACTGGGGGGTATTCTATGCCTTCCCTTCCAGACCCTCTCCCCCCTCCTTTTCGTACTACGTTCAGCCATATAGAAATTTGCGTTACTGCTAAGGGATCTAAACCTCTTAGGGAAAAATGTAGACCCGGAGGAGGGTATTCCATACCCCGCAGGTCATTACCCCCCAGGCGAAAAGGTCCCTTAATTCTACTTTCTTTCTAAGACGTTTAGATCCCTTAGAGCTAACACAATATGGTTTTGATCCTCCTCCAAATGATCAGCTGCAATAGCTCTCTCCAAAAAATACCTGGGAGGTATTCCATACTCCTCAGACCCCCCGGTGCTACGTTCTCCTTCGAAACGTTCAGCTGTAATGACTTTCCAATAAATATGGGAAGAATGAACCTAGAACCAACATGTTTGGGAGGTATGAACTACCCCCCTCCCTAGGGGAAGTTTTTAGAATCAATCCTCATTGCTTTACAGCGGGCATAGGATATTCGTATACGGGGGGGGGGGGGAGGTTGATACCTCCCAGACCTAGACCTCTTGGTCTTCCTCCCTAAGAGGTTTAGAGCTCTTTCCAAAAAAAAACATTGTGGCTCTAAACTTTTTAGGGAAGTATTTAGAACCGGGAGGTCTGAGGGTATGGAATCCCTCGCTCTCCTGGAACAGACTAAATCAATCCCCATTTCTCTACAACAGAATCAATCTTCATTTCCCCACAACGGTAATAAGATATTCGCCTACCCTTCCAGCCCCCCCCCCCCCTCGTACTACGTTCTTCCTCGAAACGTTCACCCATATCGACCTTCCAAAAAATATTGCGTTAGTGCTAAGGGATCTAAACCTCTTAGGGAAGCATGTAGAACAGGGGAAAAAACCTCCTGATTCTACTTTCTTTTCTAAGAGTTTTGCAGCCCTTAGAACTAACACAATATTTTTTGAAAAGAGTTTTCCTCGAAATGTTCAGCTTTAGTGGCTCTTTCCAAAAAATACCTGGCAGGTATTCCATACTCCCCAGACCCCCCGGTTCAGCCGAGCGTTCAGCTGTCTTTCCAAAAAAATATTCTGTTAGTGTTAAAGGCTCCAATATTCTTAGAAAGACTGTAGAACCAGGGGGTTTGGAGCTTTTCCGTCTGGGGGCGTGGAATACCCTCCGGGTTCAAACCCGAAACTAGACAGAATTTCCTTTTATATAGTTTTCGCTATGACCTAGTGAATTTGTGCGAATCTATGAATTAACCTTAATATAATATCTACCATGCTTCGGAGGGCATGTAAAGCTGGCGGTCCCGTTAGTCATACCACGACTGTCGTTAGGTCCCACAGACGGCTGTTGATGCGTCCTGAAACCTAGGGAGTGCCTCCCATACGGTACAAAAAAAACTTAATATCTAATCTAATAACAATACACGCCAAACTAATTAAAGATTCCAATGTGAATCAGTTTATCAATGATAACATACATGCAATACAAACGGCTGCAATTTGCCCAAAGGCTGCTATCTTTAAGAAAATGAAATCTGAATATTCTTTGATAATTTTTTACTACAATCCACTGTAATCTACAACAATTTTTCGTAAACGGATACTACACTGCACTTGATAAAAAGAATGACCTTCAGTAAATAACGCTGATGGTGCAAAATAAACCCGGAACGGTCCTCCTTACAACGACAATGATTCGAAAGGGTCTAAGAATTTTAACACCTTAATGTTTATTAATGTTTTTCCAACTGCAGGAGGCTATTTTTTATTTTTATGATTACGAATTCCAACGACAAAGTTCAATCCCCTTTTGTTTCACTAATACGTCACTAATGACTTTGTTCTCGAGCTAATACGGCTGTTTTATTTCTCCGACGGAACGCGTTTTCCTCGATTTCCTATTGCCCTGCGTAAACATTTCCGTTTGCGAAAAAAAAGAATAACCGAACCCACAACTGAGTTTTATGATGCCCGGAGAAACGGCGACTTGCGCCCAGGCCCGTCCGAACCGGTGACTCCTTGATAGTTTTCGACCCAATTCCTTCCAAAACCTCTCCGGATTAACTCCCCCCAAAATTGTCGCGATCTCGTTCGCTGCTCAACACGTAATGCCATAAATTAGTAATTTGCAGCACTTGAATTGAGTTGGAGCAAAGTTGCTTCAAGTGCAGAATACATCTGTTTTCTGATGACACATCGTTTAATTAATGGCGATATGTTTCTGGTACATCGAACAATTTCTTTGCTGCAGTCATCACGCTGCACTTCACCCTTTCTTATCTTGGCCACGGTAAAACTTTCAAATGAGAGTTCAAAAGGTCTTCCTTTGATAACTTGGTAAATTTAAAACAAACGTTAGGTAAGTACAGTGATAGCTTTCGTAAACATCTCCATTATCGCAAGTGATTAGATAAGTAAGTCGCTCTCGGCTGGATTCTGTCAAGTTTCGTCGGCATGATAACACCGTGGCTACTGGTTTTGCTAGGGGTGGCAATCGCAAACGGTGGTGTGACCAAAGAGAGGAATTCCTCGCGAGTGGTCATCGTTGGTGCCGGCGCGGCGGGTTTGGCGGCCAGTAAGCGTCTGCTCGATCATGGATTCGACGACTTCATCATTCTGGAGGCGAACGATCGAGTTGGGGGTAGAATCCATAGTGTGAGGTTCGGGGATGCCATTATAGACCTCGGTGCCGAGTACTGTGCCGGAGAGGGCGTGTACAACCTTGTCAAGGACCTTGGCGTGTTGAAACCGAAGGGGACCGTCAGCAACGGCTACCACTCCACCAGCGGAAGCTTAGAACCTACCTTCACGAATGGGTTGTTCGGTGTTCACTCGATACTCGAGTCCGCCGAGAAGGACAACCGAAGCTCCAGAGCGGCGCACATCCAGAAATTGTAAGTTATCTTCTATCACCACTTCTGTCTAAACTCATCCTTCAGCTTTAAATCCGCCGTCGTGCAAATCTACGGCGATGAGCACGAGCGCCATCTAGCGTACGATTGCGTCGACCTCATCGAGAAGATTAATTTGATTTACGCCTCCGCCTTTTTTCTGGAAGATCTTTCGGCGGCCGATTCCCACGTCGACTATCCGGGAAAGGTGGTTTACAACTGGAACGGTCACGGTTTTCAGACGGTCCTAAGAGCCTTACTAAAGGACCATAATCTAGACGATAGGATTAACCTCAACAGCGCAGTGAGAAAAATCGAATGGGGTTCCGAGGAGGTGAAGCTCACGACTTCGAACGGGGCGGAGTTCTTCGCCGAACATGTCATACTAACTCCCTCTCTTGGCGTGCTAAAACACAAGCGCGCTATCTCGTTCTATCCTCCTCTGCCCGCCGAAAAGGTGGACGCGATCGATATGCTCGGCTATGGAACCACAAACGCCATCGCGCTTTACTTCCCCGAAAGGTGGTGGACGAATCCGAACATGGTGTTCATCTTCAGCAAGACCGGCGGCGGAGTGAGCGGGTTCACGGAGGGTCCGAGAAGGGTAAGTTCCGCTCCCTTGGCTCGCGACGCGAACGACTCTTGGTTTCAGAACGGCAAGTCGTGGTTGGACACGCTCTTCGGCTTCACCGCACTCGAGCAGAATCCGAACGCGCTATTCGCGAGCTTCACGGGGGAGTTCGCCCCGGACATAGAGCTGTGCAGCGACGACGTCATAATCGACGGCATCATGTACGCCATACGGAAGTTTGTTGGCGTTAACGCGACGAGACCTACGAAATGGTTGCGCCGCAACTGGTACCACGATCCGAGCATGCGCGGCACGTACTCCTACGAGACGGTGCGGTCGTGGAGAAACGGGGCCGCAAGAGAGAACCTCGCAAAACCTCTCGCGTCGAGGGCCGGTCGGCCTCAACTGCTGTTTGCTGGAGAGGCAGCGCATCGCGAGTACTATGCCACGGTTCACGGGGCCTTCGAAACTGGTTACAGAGAAGCGGAGAGGATAATAAACTGTTATGGTCCTACTAAGAAGAATTAGTGCATTATAAATTGTTGGTGGCAATAAAATCATATGACGCCTTTGTTTATAAATTTTCTCCCCAGCTCGGATTTATTTTAAAATCGATTAGTATCGCTCGTTTATGATGTCGCATAAAGGAGATCCGTAGTCACGTTCGAGGACGAACTAATTCAGCGCGCCAGTAAGTATATTTTAGTTACCATAAGGAGATATTGTTAAAAACTCAGAGTAGTTGTTTGCTGCCCGTGATTCGTAATCGTAGAATTATGGGATCATTGTACACCATACCCTCCAGATCTACCCCCACCCCCGTACTACGTTATCTGCTTCACTTCTTAGTATAAAGTAGTATTAGTTAGTATAATTTCTAAAGGTTAAACGTTGTATGGGGGAGAACATAGCACCGGAGGTCTGAGAAGAATGTAATGACTCGATAATTCCTTCCCTTACCACTCGCAATCTTAGGGAAAAGGTATTGGAATCATCGTTTACTGAGGAATATTCCATACCTCCCCAGACCCCCGGTTGCACGTTCTCTGCCGCACTTCTCAGTAGAAGAGGATGTGATAATTTTCTCAAAAACTATTAGAAGAATTCTCAGGGATAAACGTTTTATGGTGGAGAACATAGCACAAGACCTTAACAAATACGGTAAATTCCCTATAAGAAGTCCGAATATATATGTATGTGTCTGAAGATAGTAGGTAACAAATCCCAGGATGCTCGTAAATAAGACTTTAATGTGTTTCTGAGGAAGATTGAACAGCTGTAAGAGGATTTTAATGTAACATTTTTTAAAAACGTGTCTTATGGAAAAAAAGATGGAGGAAAGAAAAACAAGAACAGTATAGTAAAACAAAAGAAGAAAGATTAAACAAATAAAAAAATAAACAAATCGAGAACTCCAAAAAAGGAGAAGTGTTTTATTAAAATTAAAAATAAGTGTACAAAAGAAAACGACACAACGGAAAGGAAAACGGGGAAAAAGCGCACACATAAACATAAAAAAGTGGAACGTTATTTACAGAAAAAGAAAACATGTAGATTTTTAGCCATATAAAGGGAAAAAAAAGAGTTAAACAGTGTGTGAAGTAAAGAAACAGAAGGAAGAAGAACCAAGAGGCACATATAAGGGATGAAAACAACGAAAAACAAGCGGAAAAAGATGTATATTGATGAAAAATTATACATAAAAAAGACATGTAAAAAAGACAGAAGAAAGAACGATTTCGGACTATTCGATGACGTAACTACAGAGTGACCTTGTTTTGTGGTGCAAGGTGCGATTTCACAGTTACGTAAGTAAAGAGTGACCTTGTTTTATGGTGCAAGGTCTTTCACAGCGAATCCTGAATGTTGATCCACTACTGAATCTTGGGCAACAACCTTGATTTTTCATTAAGCGTGAACGTACATTATGTCACTTGAACATTTTGGGATCCTCGAGATTTGTAACTGTTGAGATCCTTGAATCCCCGATCTTTAAGTTTTGCAACCGTGACGTTTAGAGGTTCGCATTGAATCTTTAATTCTGTGTTTTACATTCTGAACCTTGGATATTGAATCTTGAATCTCCAGATCTTGGACTACTGAATCCAAAGTGATGGTGCTAGTATCCTAAAGCAACGTGAATTGTAAACGGAGTACGAACTGGAAAAAGAAAAGGAACTAGACGGCGGAGAGAAGAAAAAATGTGGAAGAGAGATATGTGGAATAAAAAGGATAAATGATAGCGAAAAGAAGACTAGGGATAAACAGAGGAGGAGAAAAAGAAGAGTATAATTGAAGAAGGAGAGAGTTGAGGAATAACAAAGAAAGGGAACTCCAAAGGGCGCGCTTGGTCTATGAAATAAGTGGTTTACTCAAAATTCGCTGTCACGTTCAGTGTTTTTGTTTTTGTCGGACTGGGAACGAAAACAGAAGGGAAAGAGAAAAAGAATGAAAGAAGAACAAAACTCAAAAAACAGAAGCAACAGAATGAACATGTGAACTGTGAAGCCGAAAGAAGGTGAAGAAAAGGAAGAACAAAGAAACAATAATGATTTTTATCACGAAAAAGAAACAAAAACAAAAACAAACAAACAAAAAGAGTAAAGGAAAATATAATAAATAAGAAGGTAAGGAAGGCGAAGAAGAGGAGGGACCGAGAAAACTGTAAAAAGAAACGGAAGAAGACCCAGACTGGAAGGAACGAGCTCTGAAACTAGTTGCAGAAGAAAAATGGTGGGCAGAATGGGCCTTTGGTGCCCCTAAGTGCTGGCTGGTCGGACTCCCCTGTGAATAGAACAGAATGGAATTACGATGATGGAGATCAAGAGAAGAGACACAGAACGGAAGAGGGTGAAGAAGAGGAATAGAAGAAATAGGAGGGGAATTGGCGGAAAAGTATAATTTTCTCCCGATATTTCCAAAGAGTAAACTTCTCGAGACGTAGTGAATAGGTGTTGATATGATAAATGGAAATGTGTAATTGAATTTTCCACCAAGTTCTTTCCTACTACCTCCACCTAAACAGTTTGGGCCCAAAAGCGAAGGCTCGGTTATTTTCATGAAAAGCCCCTGGAGGAGAACTGTTGAAAAAATGAAGAAACTAAAGGATAGAGCGAGAGAGGCGGATAGCAAAAAGAGAAAGAGAACTATAATGAGCAAGAAGGAAAAGAAGGAAAGAAGATGAAGACCAAGGAAATCAAGAAAAAAAAAAGATTTAAAAAATGTAGGGAGAAAGTGGAAGAATATAAAAAATAGGTCACAAATTAAGAAGAGAAATAACAGGTGTAAGTGTGACCTGAAAACAGGTGTACGTGAAATATGAGAAAAAAAGAGAAGAAGAAAGGCGAGGATAAAAATATAGCAGGAGATGGAGTGGAAAGGTATAGTGCACCCTGCCAGTCGCGAAAATAGAAGAAAAAAGAAACCAAGGAAACTAAATAAAAGAAGAGAAGAGAAAAAATAGTGAGAGGGGTGAATATAATGATAATGGTGATAATGAGTGGAGTATGAAACGGAAAAGAAGATTATGAAGTGAAGAAAAAGAAGAAATGTATCCTTGACAAAAACCAATTTCTTCCAAAAGTTGTTGACCGGCCCTAAGATAATAAATTGAAGCCTGTTATTTCCAGCGTTTTTCTTGTATCTCTGCCTAGAAGAACTGAGATCGAAAGTCTACTAAGAAACACTTTAAGGGTTAAAAAAGGAAGAAGAGGACGGGAAAGAAAAGCGCTTGTTACTAGATAAGAAGAAAGAGAATAAGGCAAAGAAGAATAGGAATAACAGCAAGAATACAATAAACAGAAAAAAAGTGAAGGACAGATAACATGCAAAGAAGAAAAGCACGAAACTATCAGTAGGTATGCACCGGCATGGCCTATACCTCTGGTAACATTTCAATGTGGAGTTACATGTAAGTGAAGAGTGGAAGAAGAGGACAAAGACTATGGTTATGAGGAAAAATAAAAACCAAGATAAAGACGAGAGGTGTAAAAGGACAGTGAAGGATATAACAAAGAAAGAAAGACCTAGAGGAGGAAGTGTCTGCCATTTTTCCTATTTTGCACTTCCATGTTCTCTCCTTGTGTGCCCACTATATTTTATTGTTCTTTCTGTCCAATTTTTCGCGTATACATTTTGAATATATTTTGGTATTTTTTTTGCTTTAACTTGATCTCTGTTTTGTTGCTTTTTTCCCACTCATTCGCTTTATGTTTCGGTTTTGTTCTTTTTTGTCCTTGGAGTTTTTTTTTGTTCTTGTTCTGGCACGCTATTATGTTTTTAATGTTCTTCTATCTCTATTTGTTTATGTTATTCATTATTATCCTTCTATGATCCATTGTTTCATTGCTTTTATTCGTGTGTATGCTTCCTTGGCTTCTTGAATGTTTTTTTTGTACTCCTGTTCCTATCTCTTTTTGTTATCGGTGTTTGCTGCATATTTATTTTTTGCTCTTTTTTGTAGGTACTTACCCTGTAGGTTTTTATCTCGTTTCGTTATTTTCCCTTTTTTCATTTTTTTTATTCTAGTCTTTCGCTTTGTTTCGTTTTCGGTTGTAATTTTGCGTCTCCAATCTTTTCTTGTTTTCTTGTATCCCCCTTTTTTCGCCTCTTATACTGTTTTTTGTTTCATTTTGTACAAATTTTCTCACCCTTTTCGTCCGTTTCCTTTTTTCTTCATTTTTTGTTCTAATCTCTATGTTTCGTTTACTCTAATTGTTCTTCTTTTGTTGTTATTTTTGGAGTTTGTCCATAAAAAATCATTGTCTTGCATAGGTACCTTTTATTTGTCCTCTTGAATGCCCGAGAACATTAAATCGTAAAATCAGGAGGTCATGAGATTGTAAGATGCCGAGAACCTCCAGGCTTCAGAGTCTTTTTGAAAAACAAAAAAGAGAGACGTCAAAAAGGCAAAGAGCAAAAAAAGGAAAGGGATATAACACGAGAGTAGGAAAGGAAGAATGTAAGAGAATAAGGGAAATGAAATTTTTAAAATGACATGGGAAAAAATAAATAAAAAAGAGAAAATAGGAGGAAACCAAGAAGAAAAAATAAAAAGTGACGCTGTGAAAGACCTTGCACCATAAAACAAGGTCACTCTTTACTTACGTAACTGTGAAATCGCACCTTGCACCACAAAACAAGGTCACTCTGTAGTTACGTCATCGAATAGTCCGAAATCGTTCTTTCTTCTGTCTTTTTTACATGTCTTTTTTATGTATAATTTTTCATCAATATACATCTTTTTCCGCTTGTTTTTCGTTGTTTTCATCCCTTATATGTGCCTCTTGGTTCTTCTTCCTTCTGTTTCTTTACTTCACACACTGTTTAACTCTTTTTTTTCCCTTTATATGGCTAAAAATCTACATGTTTTCTTTTTCTGTACATAACGTTCCACTTTTTTATGTTTATGTGTGCGCTTTTTCCCCGTTTTCCTTTCCGTTGTGTCGTTTTCTTTTGTACACTTATTTTTAATTTTAATAAAACACTTCTCCTTTTTTGGAGTTCTCGATTTGTTTATTTTTTTATTTGTTTAATCTTTCTTCTTTTGTTTTACTATATTGTTCTTGTTTTTCTTTCCTCCATCTTTTTTTCCATAAGACACGTTTTTAAAAAATGTTACATTAAAATCCTCTTACAGCTGTTCAATCTTCCTCAGAAACACATTAAAGTCTTATTTACGAGCATCCTGGGATTTGTTACCTACTATCTTCAGACACATACATATATATTCGGACTTCTTATAGGGAATTTACCGTATTTGTTAAGGTCTTGTGCTATGTTCTCCACCATAAAACGTTTATCCCTGAGAATTCTTCTAATAGTTTTTGAGAAAATTATCACATCCTCTTCTACTGAGAAGTGCGGCAGAGAACGTGCAACCGGGGGTCTGGGGAGGTATGGAATATTCCTCAGTAAACGATGATTCCAATACCTTTTCCCTAAGATTGCGAGTGGTAAGGGAAGGAATTATCGAGTATTTTTTCCCATGTCATTTTAAAAATTTCATTTCCCTTATTCTCTTACATTCTTCCTTTCCTACTCTCGTGTTATATCCCTTTCCTTTTTTTGCTCTTTGCCTTTTTGACGTCTCTCTTTTTTGTTTTTCAAAAAGACTCTGAAGCCTGGAGGTTCTCGGCATCTTACAATCTCATGACCTCCTGATTTTACGATTTAATGTTCTCGGGCATTCAAGAGGACAAATAAAAGGTACCTATGCAAGACAATGATTTTTTATGGACAAACTCCAAAAATAACAACAAAAGAAGAACAATTAGAGTAAACGAAACATAGAGATTAGAACAAAAAATGAAGAAAAAAGGAAACGGACGAAAAGGGTGAGAAAATTTGTACAAAATGAAACAAAAAACAGTATAAGAGGCGAAAAAAGGGGGATACAAGAAAACAAGAAAAGATTGGAGACGCAAAATTACAACCGAAAACGAAACAAAGCGAAAGACTAGAATAAAAAAAATGAAAAAAGGGAAAATAACGAAACGAGATAAAAACCTACAGGGTAAGTACCTACAAAAAAGAGCAAAAAATAAATATGCAGCAAACACCGATAACAAAAAGAGATAGGAACAGGAGTACAAAAAAAACATTCAAGAAGCCAAGGAAGCATACACACGAATAAAAGCAATGAAACAATGGATCATAGAAGGATAATAATGAATAACATAAACAAATAGAGATAGAAGAACATTAAAAACATAATAGCGTGCCAGAACAAGAACAAAAAAAAACTCCAAGGACAAAAAAGAACAAAACCGAAACATAAAGCGAATGAGTGGGAAAAAAGCAACAAAACAGAGATCAAGTTAAAGCAAAAAAAATACCAAAATATATTCAAAATGTATACGCGAAAAATTGGACAGAAAGAACAATAAAATATAGTGGGCACACAAGGAGAGAACATGGAAGTGCAAAATAGGAAAAATGGCAGACACTTCCTCCTCTAGGTCTTTCTTTCTTTGTTATATCCTTCACTGTCCTTTTACACCTCTCGTCTTTATCTTGGTTTTTATTTTTCCTCATAACCATAGTCTTTGTCCTCTTCTTCCACTCTTCACTTACATGTAACTCCACATTGAAATGTTACCAGAGGTATAGGCCATGCCGGTGCATACCTACTGATAGTTTCGTGCTTTTCTTCTTTGCATGTTATCTGTCCTTCACTTTTTTTCTGTTTATTGTATTCTTGCTGTTATTCCTATTCTTCTTTGCCTTATTCTCTTTCTTCTTATCTAGTAACAAGCGCTTTTCTTTCCCGTCCTCTTCTTCCTTTTTTAACCCTTAAAGTGTTTCTTAGTAGACTTTCGATCTCAGTTCTTCTAGGCAGAGATACAAGAAAAACGCTGGAAATAACAGGCTTCAATTTATTATCTTAGGGCCGGTCAACAACTTTTGGAAGAATTTGGTTTTTGTCAAGGATACATTTCTTCTTTTTCTTCACTTCATAATCTTCTTTTCCGTTTCATACTCCACTCATTATCACCATTATCATTATATTCACCCCTCTCACTATTTTTTCTCTTCTCTTCTTTTATTTAGTTTCCTTGGTTTCTTTTTTCTTCTATTTTCGCGACTGGCAGGGTGCACTATACCTTTCCACTCCATCTCCTGCTATATTTTTATCCTCGCCTTTCTTCTTCTCTTTTTTTCTCATATTTCACGTACACCTGTTTTCAGGTCACACTTACACCTGTTATTTCTCTTCTTAATTTGTGACCTATTTTTTATATTCTTCCACTTTCTCCCTACATTTTTTAAATCTTTTTTTTTCTTGATTTCCTTGGTCTTCATCTTCTTTCCTTCTTTTCCTTCTTGCTCATTATAGTTCTCTTTCTCTTTTCGCTATCCGCCTCTCTCGCTCTATCCTTTAGTTTCTTCATTTTTTCAACAGTTCTCCTCCAGGGGCTTTTCATGAAAATAACCGAGCCTTCGCTTTTGCGCCCAAACTGTCTAGGTGGAGGTAGTAGGAAAGAACTTGGTGGAAAATTCAATTACACATTTCCATTTATCATATCAACACCTATTCACTACGTCTCGAGAAGTTTACTCTTTGGAAATATCGGGAGAAAATTATACTTTTCCGCCAATTCCCCTCCTATTTCTTCTATTCCTCTTCTTCACCCTCTTCCGTTCTGTGTCTCTTCTCCTGATCTCCATCATCGTAATTCCATTCTGTTCTATTCACAGGGGAGTCCGACCAGCCAGCACTTAGGGGCACCAAAGGCCCATTCTGCCCACCATTTTTCTTCCGCAACTAGTTTCAGAGCTCGTTCCTTCCAGTCTGGGTCTTCTTCCGTTTCTTTTTACAGTTTTCTCGGTCCCTCCTCTTCTTCGCCTTCATTACCTTCTTATTTATTATATTTTCCTTTACTCTTTTTGTTTGTTTGTTTTTGTTTTTGTTTCTTTTTCGTGATAAAAATCATTATTGTTTCTTTGTTCTTCCTTTTCTTCACCTTCTTTCGGCTTCACAGTTCACATGTTCATTCTGTTGAGTAAACCACTTATTTCATAGACCAAGCGCGCCCTTTGGAGTTCCCTTTCTTTGTTATTCCTCAACTCTCTCCTTCTTCAATTATACTCTTCTTTTTCTCCTCCTCTGTTTATCCCTAGTCTTCTTTTCGCTATCATTTATCCTTTTTATTCCACATATCTCTCTTCCACATTTTTTCTTCTCTCCGCCGTCTAGTTCCTTTTCTTTTTCCAGTTCGTACTCCGTTTACAATTCACGTTGCTTTAGGATGCACCATCACTTTGGATTCAGTAGTCCAAGATCTGGAGTCAACGTCCAAGATCTGGAGATTCAGGATTCAATATCCAAGGTTCAGAATGTAAAACACAGAATTAAAGATTCAATGCGAACCTCTAAACGTCACGGTTGCAAAACTTAAAGATCGGGGATTCAAGGATCTCAACAGTTACAAATCTCGAGGATCCCAAAATGTTCAAGTGACATAATGTACGTTCACGCTTAATGAAAAATCAAGGTTCTTGCCCAAGATTCAGTAGTGGATCAACATTCAGGATTCGGGGTCCGGGGTTCTGGATTCGAGTTTGGAGGATTGGAGGTTCGAGAGGTGGGGTTCGAGGTCCGAAGTTTGAGGTCCGAGGCATGAGATTGGGGATTTAAGATTCAAGATTCCAGGTTCAAGATGCAAAGTCCAAGGTTCAGGGTTTCAGATGCAAGATTCGAGATTCAAAGTTCAAGATTCAATGTTCAAGATCCAAAGTTCAACGGACAAGGTTCGTGATTCAAGGTTCAAGATGCAGAGTTCAAGGATCAAGGTTGAAGCTTCAAAATTCAAGGTTCGAAATCCAAAGTTCAAGGTGCAAGGTTTAAGGTCAAGGTGCAAGGTTAAATGACTGAGGCTCAAGAGTTAAACACTCAAGAAATAAGATTCGGGGCTTAAGGTTCAAGATTCAGGATTTAGGATTTGGGAATCAGGATTCCGGATTCGGGATTCAAGGCTCAAGACGCAGGGATCAAGATTAAAAGTTAAGATTCAAGGTTCAAGATTCTAGTTTCAGGATTCAATGTTAAAGGTTCATGATTCAAGGTTCAAGATGCACAGTTCAAGGTTCAAGATCTAAAGTTCAAGGTGCAAGGTTTAAGGGCAACGTCCAAGGTTCAATGACTCAGACTTGAGACTTAAGACTCAAGACTTAAGGATCAAGATTCAAGATCCAAGCTTCAGGATTCAGGATTTGGGTTCAAGTTCAAGATTCATTATGTTCCTGTTCTACTAACATCTCCCTCTCCTTTTCTCTTTCTCTTCTGTTTTTGTTCCCAGTCCTACAAAAACAAAAACACCGAGCGTGACAGCGAATTTTCAGTAAACCACTTATTTCATAGACCATGCGCGCCCTTTAAAGTTTCCTTTCTTTGTTATTTCTCAGCTCTCTCCTTCCTCAGTTACACTTTTCTTTTTCTTACACCCTCCTCCTCTGTTTATTCCTAGTCTTCTTTTCGCTATCATTTATCCTTTTTATTCTACACATCCCTCCTCCACATTTTTTCTTCTCTCCGTCCAGTTCCTTTTCTTTTTCCAGTTCGTACTCCGCTTCTCTTCATTTCCTTCCGATACACTACTCAAGCTCCTAGCTCTCTTTTCCTTCGCCGCTTATTTTTCTTCTTTCGTCCGCTGTCTCTCTTCATCTCCTACTGTCCCATCGCATCCTCCAGATATCCTCTTTTTTGCAATCTCTCTGTTTCCTCTTATGCTCCTAATTTTATTTTCAACTATTCTTCTTCATGCCTTTCCTCTTCCTCTTACATTTCTTCTGTTCATCCTCAGCCTGAGTAGGTTAAGGAGTTCAAACTCGAGATTTGAGCATTAAAAATTGAACTTCCAGGATTTTGGAATTCTGAATTCAAATTTCAGTTTCTAAGAGAAATTAGTTCCAATGAGGGTAAATTTGGGAACCCCTGATCCGGCACTAGTATTGGAATTTTGGATTTGGGATCCAGGGAACTGAGGAAGAATTAGTTGTAAATGAAGCACAAAATCTTCCTTTTTCGAACAATTAATTACGTTTATAAAAGTTTATAATTTTATCTGCTTCCCTGAAACCGGACAAAACGGCACCGTTAACCGATCCATAGCCGACCTTATTCGTAGCCTCGCCGGCAAACAGAAGTTGAGGAGTGCCGACTTTCGAAACCAAAGTTTCCGCTAAAACTTCTCCAGTTACTCCGCACCGTATGCTGTCCAAGGTTTCGTAGGAAATCATGCCGCCGAAATGGGGGTTGGTGCACCAGCTATTGCTGAAGAAAATCGGATTGGATCGTACCTTTCCAGTTGTACTACTTACCGCTCCAGCTTTACGGGTTTGGTGATATTTCGAAAGGTTCCCCCAAGAAATCTTTGCAATAACCAGTGAGCGCCATCTAAAAGCACACCGTCACTGATGGTCTCAAGCGTTGCGAGGTAGCTTCCCACAAACCATGTCGTTAGGACGTTGGAGTTATTGGGAACCAGGCAGAATCCCATACAGTTGGTCATCCAGGGGTGCTCGCCCTAAAACGCCGGTACAGAAAAGGCCTTTGACTGCCCACTTACCTCTCTCAGCGCGTCCTTCAAGTCCTTTTCGCCCCATGCGAATGCGAAGTCGTTGTCCGACCACCATTTCTTGGAAAAGCAAAAGGACACTTTGAGGATGGACCCAAATCCTAGTATCTCGATGGCTTTTTGTTTCCTCGTCGGAAGTGCGGGTGAAAAAAGTGTGTTGTGTTGCTCCTTCAACGCCCCTAAAGACACGGTTACGATTACGCAATCGCACAAATACTGCAATCCATTGGTACAGATGACCTTTGCTCCACATTCTCCTCCCCACTCAATTTTTGTAACCTCGCTCTTCAAAATGACCTTGCTGTCAAACTGAAGAGCTCGGCGATGTTTCTTCATTAGGAAATTTAGAAACACTTGGTATCCGTGCGTTTTCCATTGGAGGCTGAAATCACGTGTAAATTCCCCACTGGCCGCACCATATACTCCGTTCAGACAAATCGATCCAGTACCACGCAGCATGAGCTTCTTCACAAAGTCGAAATTGTCCTTCGCGAGTAACCGTTCGCGCTCGTCGTGAAAGAGGTTGGTGAACTCATCGTCAAAACTGAAACGAAAGATGATCGGCACTCGCGCATTTGGTAATTGACATACTGGTCCTCAAGGTACTGCTTCCACTCAACGTTCTTCACCTCGCCTCGGTGATACAATTCGGCAACCTTGTCCTGCAGCTTTTTCACAAAACTCTCCTCCAACCTGCCGTTTTGGGAGTGGTACACGTGCGTCGAGACGTTCCTCTCCTCCAACAGATCCAGATCCTTCACCAAGCGATGGACGACGCTATCCTTGATGCAGTACTGCGCTCCCAAATCGACTACCCCATCACCTAGGCGTCTCGTACAGATTCGGCCGCCGACTCGGTCCTCGGCTTCCAAAATGACGAAGTTACTGAAACCGTTCTCGATCAGGCGGGAGGCGGCCGAGATACCCGCGGCCCCTGCGCCTACTATTACGATGCGAGTGCTCGCCATTTGTTGTTTTCGCTATTGAGTACGTGCGTAGCATAAGTAAGATTAGTTATCGTCATTAATTATCTAAAAGGTCGAGGTCTCATATAGCTGGCGATAGTTTTGAAGGTTCGATTCGAAGTTGCAAGATAAGGTCGAAGGTCCAAATTGAGATACAAGATTCAAGGTTGGTGCTTTAGGATCCAACCTTCAATACTCAAGATTGAAGTCAATATCTTAAAACTCAGGTTTTCTAAACTTCAACGCCGCGGGATCTCGAGAACTGAGGCATCATGATCTCAGAACCTCATAACCCTCTGGTCTCCTTCTTCATTTTATGGTTTCAGGTCCTCAAAGATCTCAAAATGTCCATTTCTGAATGGATGTTCTTTGTATTTAAGAAATGCACGCTCTTGAGTTTTATTCGCCTTGAAGAATGAAGGATCTGCTTCCTCTTCTTCATTTCAGTTCCAGATCTGGAACCCAAAACTTTGATAGTGGAAGTTTACGTGTCCAAAATTCAAAATCCCAAATTCGAAATTTTTGTTTCAAAGTTGAAGGTTCAAAGCTTTGGATCAACATTCAGAATTCGGGGTCCGGGGTTCTGGATTCAGGATTCGGGATTGGAGGTTCGAGAGGCGGGGTTCGAGGTCCGAGGCATGAGATTGGGGATTTAAGATTCAAGATTCACGATTCAAGATTCAGTTTTCAAGATTCAAAGTTCAACATTCAATATTAAAGGGCCAAGGTTCGTGATTCAAGGTTCAAGGTGCAAGGTTCAATGACTGAGGCTCAAGAGTTAAAAACTCAAGGCATAAGAATCGGGACTTAAAGTTCAAGATTCAAGATCCAAAATTCAAGATTTAGGATTTGGGATTTGGGAATCAGGATTCCGGATTCGGGATTCATGACTCAAGATGCAAGGGTCAAGATTAAAAGTTCCAAGATTCAATATTCAACGTTCAAGATTCAATGTTCAAGATTTAACGTTAAAGATTCCAGGTTCAAGATGCAAAGTCCAAGGTTCAAGATTGAAAGTACAAGGTTTCAGACGCAAGGTTCAAGATTCAGTGTTCAAGATTCAGTGTTCAAGATTCAGTGTTCAAGATTCAGTGTTCAAGATTCAAAGTTCAACATTCAATGTTCAAGGGCCAAGGTTTGTGATTCAAGGTTCAAGATGCAGAGTTCAAGGTTTAAGAATCAAGGTTGAAGCTTCCAGATTCAAGGTTCTAAATCCAAAGTTCAAGGTGCAAGGTTTAAGTTAAGGTGCAAGGTTCAATGACTGAGGCTCAAGAGTTAAAAATTCAAGACATAAGAATCGGCACTTAAAATTCAAGATTCAAGATCCAAGATTCAAGATTTAGGATTTGGGATTTAGGAATCAGGATTCCGGATTCGGGATTCATGACTCAAGATGCAAGGGTCAAGATTAAAAGATCAAGGTTCAATGTTCAATATTCTACGTTCAAGATTCAATGTTCAAGATTCAACGTTAAAGATTCCAGGTTCAAAATGCAAAGTCCAAGGTTCAAGATTCAAGGTACAAGATTTCAGATGCAAGGTTCAAGATTCAGTGTTCAAGATTCAAAGTTCAACATTCAATGTTCAAGGGCCAAGGTTCGTGATTCAAGGTTCAAGATGCAGAGTTCAAGGTTTAAGAATCGAGGTTGAAGCTTCAAGATTCAAGGTTCGAAATCCAAAGTTCAAGGTGCAAGGTTCAATGACTGAGGCTGAAGGGTTAAAAACTCAAGACATAAGAATCGGGACTTAAGGTTCAAGATTCAAGATTTAGGATTTGGGATTTGGTAATCAGGATTCCGGATTCGGGATTCATGACTCAAGATCCAAGGGTCAAGATTAAAAGTTCAAGATTCAATGTTCAAGATTCAACGTTATAGATTCCAGGTTCAAGATGCAAAGTCCAAGGTTCAAGATTCAAGGTACAAGGTTTCAGATGCAAGGTTCAAGATTCAAGGTTCAAGATTCAGTGTTCAAGATTCAATGTGCAAGGGCCAAGGTTCGTGATTCAAGGTTCAAGATGCAGAGTTCAAGGTTTAAGAATCAAGGTTGAAGCTTCAAGATTCAAGGTTCGAAATCCAAAGTTCAAGGTGCAAAGTTTAAGGGCAAGGTGCAAGGTTCAATGACTGAGGCTCAAGAGTTAAAAACTCAAAACATAAGAATCGGGACTTAAGGTTCAAGATTCAAGATTCAAGATTTAGGATTTGGGAATCAGGATTCCGGATTCGGGATTCATGACTCAAGATGCAAGGGTCAAGACTAAAAGTTCAAGATTCAATATTCAACGTTCAAGATTCAATGTTCAAGATTCAACGTTAAAGATTCCAGGTTCAAGGTGCAAAGCCCAAGGTTAAAGATTCAAGGTACAAAGTTTCAGATGCAAGGTTCAAGATTCAAGGTTCAAGATTCAGTGTTAAAGATTCAAAGTTCAACATTCAATGTTCAAGGGCCAAGGTTCGTGCTTCAAGGTTCAAGATGCAGAGTTCAAGGTTTAAGAATCAAGGTTGAAGCTTCAAGATTCAAGGTTCGAAATCCGAAGTTCAAAGTGCAAAGTTTAAGGGCAAGGTGCAAGGTTCAATGACTGAGGCTCAAGAGTTAAAAATTCAAGACATAAGAATCGGGACTTAAAGTTCAAGATTCAAGATCCAAAATTCAAGATTTAGGATTTGGGATTTGGGAATCAGGATTCCGGATTCGGGATTCATGACTCAAGATGCAAGGGTCAAGATTAAAGGTTCAAGATTCAATATTCAACGTTCAAGATTCAATGTTCAAGATTCAACGTTATAGATTCCAGGTTCAAGGTGCAAAGCCCAAGGTTAAAAATTCAAGGTACAAAGTTTCAGATGCAAGGTTCAAGATTCAAGGTTCAAGATTCAGTGTTCAAGATTCAAAGATCAACATTCAATGTTCAAGGGTCAAGGTTCGTGATTCAAGGTTCAAGATGCAGAGTTCAAGGTTTAAGAATCAAGGTTGAAGCTTCAAGATTCAAGGTTCGAAATCCAAAGTTCAAGGTGCAAAGTTTAAGGGCAAGGTGCAAGGTTCAATGACTGAGGCTCAAGAGTTAAAAATTCAAGACATTAAGAATCGGGACTTAAAGTTCAAGATTCAAGATCCAAAATTCAAGATTTAGGATTTGGGATTTGGGAATCAGGATTCCGGATTCGGGATTCATGACTCAAGATGCAAGGGTCAAGATTAAAGGTTCAAGATTCAATATTCAACGTTCAAGATTCAATGTTCAAGATTCAACGTTATAGATTCCAGGTTCAAGGTGCAAAGCCCAAGGTTAAAAATTCAAGGTACAAAGTTTCAGATGCAAGGTTCAAGATTCAAGGTTCAAGATTCAGTGTTCAAGATTCAAAGATCAACATTCAATGTTCAAGGGTCAAGGTTCGTGATTCAAGGTTCAAGATGCAGAGTTCAAGGTTTAAGAATCAAGGTTGAAGCTTCAAGATTCAAGGTTCGAAATCCAAAGTTCAAGGTGCAAGGTTTAAGGTCAAGGTGCGAGGTTCAATGACTGAGGCTCAAAAGTTAAAAATTCAAGACATAACAATCGGGACATAAAGTTCAAGATTCAAGATTTAGGATTTGGGATTTGGGAATCAGGATTCCGGATTCGGGATTCATGATTCAAGATCCAAGGGTCAAGATGAAAAGTTCAAGATTCAATGTGCAATATTCAACGTTCAAGATTCAATGTTCAAGATTTAACGTTAAAGATTCCAGGTTCAAAATGCAAAGTCCAAGGTTCAAGATTCAAGGTACAAGATTTCAGATGCAAGGTTTAAGATTCAAGGTTCAAGATTCAGTGTTCAACATTCAATGTTTAAGGGGCAAGGTTCGTGATTCAAGGTTCAAGATGCAGAGTTCAAGGTTTAAGAATCGAGGTTGAAGCTTCAAGATTCAAGGTTCTAAATCCAAAGTTCAAGGTGCAAGGTTTAAGGTCAAGGTGCAACGTTCAATGACTGAAGCTCAAGAGTTAAAACCTCAAGACATAAGAATCAGGACTTAAGGTTCAAGATTCAAGGTTCAAGATTCAGTGCTCAACGTTTAAGAATCAAGGTTGAAGCTTCAAGATTCAAGGTTCGAAATCCAAAGTTCAAGGTGTAATGTTTAAGGTCAAGGTGCAAGGTTCAATGACTGAGGCTCAAGAGTTAAAAATTCAAGACATAAGAATCGGGACTTAAAATTCAAGATTCAAGATCCAAGATTTAGGATTTGGGATTTGGAAATCAGGATTCCGGATTCGGGATTCATGACTCAAGATGCAAGGGTCAAGATTAAAAGTTCAAGATTCAATGTTCAAGATTCAAGGTCCAGGATTTAATGTTAAAGGGTCATGATTCAAGGTTCAAGATTCAATGTTCAAGATGCGAAGTTCAAGGTGCAGGGCTTAAGGGCAATGTCCAAGGTTCAATGACTCAGGCGCAAGACTTAAGACTCAAGACCTGAGGTTCAAGATTCAAGATCCAAGATTCAGGATTCAGGATTTAGGTTTAAGGATTTGGGATCTACTAGGGTCAAGATTTAAGGTTACAGATGCAGAGTTCAAGATTCAAGGTTCAATATTAAATGTTCAAGTTTCAAGCTTTAAAATTTAAGCGTCAGGATTTAAGATTCAGGATCTAAAGTTCAAGGTGCAAGGTTAAGGTCAAGGTGCAAGGTTCAATGACTGAGGCTCAAAAGTTAAAAATTCAATAAGGTTCGGGACTTAAGGTTTAAGTTTCAAGATCCAAAATTTGGGATTCAGGATTTAAAATTTGGAATTTGGGAATCAGGATTCCGGAATCGGGATGCATGACTCAAAACGCAAGGGTCAAGATTAAAAGTTCATGATGCAAAATTCAAGATTCAAGGGTCAAGATTCGATGTTCAAGATTCAAGGTTCAGGATTCAATGTTAACGGTTCATGATTCAAGTTTCAAAATTTAAAGTTCGAAGTGCAAGGTTTAGTGACTCAAGACTTTTAAGGTTCAAGATTCAAGATCCAAGATTCAGGATTTGGGATCTACTAAGGTCAAGATTTAAGGTTCAAGAGACAAAGTTCAAGATTCAATGTTCAAGATTCAACGTTCAAGATTCGATGTTCAGGATTCAATGTTAAAGGTTCATGATTCAAGGTTCAAGATGCAAAGTTTAAGGTTCAAGATCTAGAGTTCAAGGTGTAAGGTTTAAGGGCAATGCCTAAGGTTCAATGACTCAGACTCAAAACTTAAGGTTCAAGATTCAAGATCCAAGATTCAGGATTCAGGATTTGGGTTTAAGGATTTGGGTCTAGGGTCAAAATTTAAGGTTCAAGATTCAATGTTCAACACTCAAGGTTCAATATTAAATGGTCAATGTTCAAGGTTCAAGATTAAACGTTCAAGATGCAAAGTTTATGGTTCAAGAATCAAAGTTCAAAGTTCAAGATTTAAGGGTCAGGATTTAACACTCAAAATCTAAAGTTCAAGGTGCAAGGTTAGGGTCCATGTGCAAGATTCAATGACTTAGGCTGAAGACGTAAGTTAAGGCTTAAGACTTAAGGTTCAAGATTCGAGATCCAAGATTCAGGACTTAGAATTCGGGATTCAAGGCTCGAGACACGAGACTCGAGACTCAAGACTCAAGACCCAAGACCCAAAACTCATAGTTCGGGATCTAGGATTTGGTTTTGGGTTGTGGGATGTGGAATTTGGGATGTCAAATTTGGAATGTGGGATTTGGGATGTGGGATTTGGGATGTGGGATTTGGGATGTGGGATTTGGGATGTGGGATTTGGGATGTGGGATTTGGGATGTGGGATTTGGGATGTGGGATTTGGAATGTGGCATTTGGCATGTGGGATTTGGGATGTGGGATTTGGGATGTGGGATTTGGGATTTGGGATGTGGGATTTGTGATGTGGGATGTGGCATGTGGGATTTGGGATGTGGGATTTGGGATGTGGGATTTGGAGATGTTGGGATTTTGGCATTTGGGATGTGGGATTTGGGATGTGGGATTTGGGGATGTGGGATTTTGGGATGTGGGATTTGGTGTGGGGGATTGGGGATGTGTGGGATGTGGGATTTGGGATGTGGGATTTGGGATGTGGGATTTGGGATGTGGGATTTTGGGATGTGGGATTGGATGTGGATTTGGGAATGTGGGATTGGGATGTAGGGATTTGGGATGTGGGATTTGGGATGTGGGATTTGGGATGTGGGATTTGGGATGTGGGATTTGGGATGTGGGATTTGGGATTTGGGATGTGGGATTTGGGATTTGGAATGTGGGATTTGGGATGTGGGATTTGGGATGTGGGATTTGGGATGTGGGATTTGGGATGTGGGATTTGGGATGTGGGATTTGGGATGTGGGATTTGGGATGTGGGATTTGGGATGTGGGATTTGGAATGTGGCATTTGGCATGTGGGATTTGGGATGTGGGATTTGGGATGTGGGATTTGGGATTTGGGATGTGGGATTTGTGATGTGGGATGTGGCATGTGGGATTTGGGATGTGGGATTTGGAGTGTGAGATTTGGGATGTGGCATGTGGGATGTGGGATTTGGGGTGTGGGATTTGGGATGTGGGATCTGGGATTTGAGATGTGGGTTTTGAAGAATTGGAAAATCTGGAAGAATCCGAAGACATTTAATACTCTGAGAACCTTGGGGATTTAAAGATTCGGAGGATTGTGAACATCCTCAGAAAGAACTATGTAGAATGAGTATCATATCCAACAACTATAATAACTTTTTACTAAATGTAAAATGATAATACAATAACTAAACTACGCTATCTACTAACAGCGTCCACCCAAAACGCCGGAATGTCACAAATGAAGCCCCATTTCTTATCGTCCAAATCGGGCGCCTCCCCCACCGGTCTGAAGGTGAAGTTCTGCAGGAGTCCCGCCAACATCAGAAACATGCAGTTGCGCGCGAAAGTTTCTCCCGCGCACAGTCGCTTGCCTAAAACGACAATAAGCCCGAGGTATCTCAAGGAGTTTGATCCTTACCCGCTCCGAAAGACAATACGTGGTCCTTCTTCAGCAAGTTACCGTCTTCGTCTAGAAACCTTTCCGGTCTGAACTCGTTCGGGTCCTTCCAAATGCGAGGGTCGTAATTTGCACCCCATATCGAGATCAGTATGAGAGCATTCTGTAAGAGGTATCTAGTGGGAGGTGCGTGGTGGGGTCACCTACCTTTGGTATGTAGTAGCCTCCGAGAGTTGTGTCTTGGAGGCACCGTCTCGGTGTGTTTACTGGGACTACTGGGTCTACGCGGAGTGACTCGCGTATGACTGCTTCCGTGTAGGGCATGCTGAAATTGGGCAGGTTAATCTAAGCTTGGGATGAACTGGGCATACTTTTTCCTGTCGTCCAGGTTGGGTAGGCGAGATCTACCCACAATCCGATCGATTTCCTCCTGCACCTTCGTTTGAACTTCGGGATATTTGCATAGGTGCGCCCATAGCATGTTTAACGATGGGCCGATGACGTTAGGGGCAGGGAAGAAATAGTCGACGAGTGTCCAAATCAACTGCTTCTCGGTGAAGCTGCCGAGCTCGGCGTTTTCGCGTTGCAAATCGTGCATTCTGCCTAGGAAGGTGTCGAGGAAATCGCCGTAGTAATCGTCCGACATGGTCTTCTTGCGTTCCTCGACCAGTTTCTACAAACCTGGGCTTAGCAAATGTTCGTGGTGATGGCATTCTACGTTACCATGAAGAAGTCTCGAACGCGCTCGTTTTCTTCGATCAGCGGTTTGGATCCGAAGTATTGGGGCGCCAAGTGTCTGACCCATGGCGTGATACTCAGGGCGCGTCCAGTGGTATCGATGTTTCTCACGAATCTTAAAGTCGAACGGCCCAATTCGCGCATCTCTTTGTCCTCAAATTTCTTTCCGACCAGCATGTGTAAGATCGCATTCGACAATATACCGTAAAACAGTTCGGGAATCAGTACGCGCCCTTTCTTGCAGTGGATATCCTGGAAATTATGGTTGACGTGTGGTAAACCTTTGGAGGGTGTTACATACGTGGTCTTCCGGAGATGGATTTGTGTTGATGTACTCAATCAGTGCCTTAATCTCGCTTTCGAACAACTCCTCAGTTGGCGCGAACCTTCTCCCAAATCCAAAGTCGCGTAGTTGGCGAAGAGAAAACCTTCTTTGCTCTTTCCAATGGTATCCATCCGTGAATATGATACCTGACAAAGAAAAAGCTTTATGTATTCAAACCGGGTAAAAAAAGAGGTGAGACAAGCGGGGAAGAGCACTTGTGACCTACCAAGGAAAGGTTATCAATTGAGTGCAATTGGCTAATCTTTGCATATCGCTCACTTACCTAGGAGATCGCCCAAAGATCTGTACCTTGTGGCGTAAATGTCAGGACGTCCGATGAACTCCTCGCGCGTTAACGCCTCTTTGACCAAATTGTACCCGGTGACGTTCACTACGGGAAAGGAACCCGCGTAGAGGCCGGTAATGTCCGATTTGTAGCGTTTGGAGAATATCTCGATGGCCTTATGGGTAAAATTATAATTTGCCAACAGAAAGAACCAATACCCTCCCCATACCGGTAAACTAGGCGGGCCTGCCAAAGGGGTTGATTTTTAATGAACGCTTAGTTTAATCGCCACTTACCAGGTGGGTAGTTTTCCGGTTTAATTTTGTTAAGTTTGTACAGGTAAACGCACGAGATGATCACGAACGAAAGAAAAATCACTAAAAATGCCACCATTGCGAACCGTATACAAAGAAGAGCACTCAGAGAGTACGAAAGTAGGTCCTGTATCAATGGATAACCTTTGACAGGTCCTTATCGAGACAAACATTAATCACCAGCTGATATTGAACACTGAATCAATATTGATGAAAGTTAAATACCCTCGACTGCTTGAATGAGGCCATCAGCTTCCGAAAGAGAAAGTGCGTGTTAAAATTGGTCTAAAATCTAAATAGACCTTTAGCTTGGACTACCATCGGGTAGCTGTCCCATACTTTGGAAAAAAAAATAGATTACAGTTTGGCACCAGTGACAGCAGCAGCTGCTTCAAGGGTGACGGCTAACACTGGGACACATGAGCTACACCTGTTGGAAAGGAGTGCTGCCTAAGAGGTAAAAATAGTTATTGAGTAATCAAAACTAGGACGTTCACCATCGGAACACAGTCATTTTTCAGTATTAAACCTATATTATCTCTCTCTCCCTCTTCCTCCCTCCATCCTCCCTCTCTCGCTCTCTCGCCCCGCCCCCTCCCTCTAAAAGTTCTGAAAAAAATCTTGAAAAAGGAAGAGCGCTAAGAAGGGAAAGTGGAAGGGGTGGGTGGGTGGAAGTTAGTGATGAGAAAGGCTACCAGAAAAGTTGAAACAAAAACAGAGACACAAGTAGTACATGTGACAGGGGTAGACACCAAAGATAAAGAACGACTTGAAAAAAATGGCGGGGGTGGGGAAGGAAAAGAGAAAACCGAAATCAGAAAGTAAACTGAAGTGTGGGAAGTGGCAAGGATGGGGAATGGAAAGAGAGGGGTGTAAAGAAAATGGAATACGGAACAGAATAACAGAATGTCACAAAGGGAAAAGGGTGCAAAACGCGGAAAGGAAGAGAAAGAGACCTCTAGAACATGTAACTGAAATGAAAATTGAGGAATGGAGAAAAGTGTGTAAAAAATAGAAAAGGACAGGAAATAAAAGTGATCAGGAAAGGTGAGCGAAACAAAAGAGGGGATAAAAGAATGGCAGGGTGGAAGAGAACGGAACAACCTTCTATAAGAATAAAGGCCAAAGGCAAGAGTACCGGGGGGAGGAAAACAGAGAAGCAAAAATGAAGTAACTGAAAAAGAATAAAAAGTTAAAGTTGAATCAGAAGTGAGATCAAACTGGAACGGAAAAGAAACGAATTTGGACGAGGTCAAGGAGAAAAGAGAGAGAAAAGAGAATGAGAGGATTGAAAAAAAGAAGGGGAAGTAACGGAAGACAGTGGATGACGAAGATTAAAGCATGAGAAAGAAAGCACACTGTGGGATGTAAAAGCGAGGGTAAATTGAACTAGGAGGGTAGTAATGGATTGTGGAAGGACGATGGATTAGAAAGGAAAAGTGAAAGATGAACCGCTAAACAGAGGGATAGGAAAGGAGAATTCTTGAATGAGACAACCAAGCGAACAGGTGGGGAAAACAAAGAGGACGGGAAGCAGAGGAGAAAGATCAAACGTGCACGTATGTGGTGGGAAAAAAGTTGCGAGAGGGGGAGAAGTGAAAGCGGTGCTAGTTCGTAGAAGGAATGGAAGGAAGATGGATGAAGGAGGCAATGCAAAATGAAGGGTAATAATAAAAAGATCGTGGGGAGATTAAGAGGACATGAAGAGAAGGTGAATGAAGAGTAGTAGGAAGAGGGGTGCGGAAACGCGTGCGTTATTAAAAGGGTAAACGAAAGATGAAACACAAAAAAGAGGCGAAGGGGAAGGTGGACGATTAAAGAAGATCGGAAAACTGGAAGAAAGAAACCGGGTGCAAGTGAGTGGGGGATTTGGAAATGAGAACGAGAGCCAAATGGCATAAGGGTAGATAAAGGGAAAGGTAAAGCAAATAACACAGTGAAAACGACAGAGGAACAATTGGAGAAAGGTAGAGAGGAGATGAAACACAGAGGAAAATGATAACAAAAATGAAACACGCAAGAAGTTAATGTGGTGGGAGACCGAAAAAAGAAGAGGAAAAATGAAGGTGATAGGAAGAACATGAAAATCAAGGAAAAGCTGTGAAAAAGGAAAACAGTTTGGGAGTTAGTAAGTAGGATGGACAAGAAAGGAAAAGTGAAAATGAAAAGAACCATTGAACGGCAAAAGAAGGAGGAATAGTAAAATACCACAGCATCGAGAGGGACAGGGCAAGTAAAAAGAAAGTTAGAGACACAAAGGAAGCAAAAAAGAAAGGAGAAGGTGAAAGATAAAGCACGGAGACTGACCTTTCATCAAACAATAACAACATTTTCGTGTAGTCAGGTGGTATTATGTGACTGGGGGTATTCAATACCTCCCGGCCCCCGGTTCGACATTCTCCCCCAAAATACCTAGCGCTTTTAGCACCTGGACAATAATTTCTAGAAAGAGACCATCGAATGTGAATCCTCAGAGCGGAACGTATTATGGGAGAACATAGCACAGGGGGGTTCGGGGGGTGGGGGTGGAATACCCTTCAGAAAAGCAAAGATTCAACGTTACTTTCTTAAAACTATAACAATTTCTTGTATTGGGGTGATATAATGTGACTGAGGGATATTCCATACCCCCCAGAGCCCCCGGTTCTACATTCTCCCCTAAAATACTTAGCGCTTTCAGCACTTGGACAATAACTTTTAGAAAGAGACCATCGGGTGTGAATTCTCGTAGCGGACCGTATTGTGGGAGAACATAGCACATGGGAGTTCGGGAAGGTGGGGTGGAATACCCCCTAGCAAAAAAGATGTAACGTTACTTTTCCTACCACTATAACAACAGTTTCTTGTAGTCGGGTGGTATATGTGACTGGGGGTATTCAATACCTCCCGGACCCCCCGGTTCGACATTCACCTCCAAAATACTTAGCGCTTTCAGCACTTGGACAATAATTTCTAGAAAGGGACCATCGAATGTGCATCCTTAGAGAATGAACGTATTGTGGGAGAACGTAGCACCAGGGGGGGGGGGGATGTATGAAATACCCCTCTAGCAAAGCAAAGATTTAACGTTACTTTTCCTACCACTATAACAAGACTTTCTTGTAGTGGGTGGTATATGTGGCTGGAGTGGTATTCCATACCCCCAGACCCCCCGGTTCTACATTCTCCCCTAAAAAACCTAGCGCTTTCAGCACTTGGACAATAACTTTTTTAAGAGACCATCGTATGTGAATCCTCAGAGCGGAGCGTATTGTGGGCGAACATAGCACAGGGTGGTTCTGGGGGTGGGGGTGGAATACCTCTCAGAAAAGCAAAGATTCAACGTTGCTTTTTACCACTATAACAATTTCTTGTAGTGGAGTGGTATATTGTGACTGGGGGTATTCCATACCCCCCAGACCCCCCGGTTCTACATTCTCCCCTAAAAAACCTAGTGCTTTCAGCACTTGGACAATAACTTTTTTAAGAGACCATCGTATGTGAATCCTCAGAGCGGAGCGTATTGTGGGCGAACATAGCACAGGGTGGTTCTGGGGGTGGGGGTGGAATACCTCTCAGAAAAGCAAAGATTCAACGTTGCTTTTTACCACTATAACAATTTCTTGTAGTGGAGTGGTATATTGTGACTGGGGGTATTCCATAGCCCCCGGGCCCCCCCCCCCCCAGATTCTACATTATCCTCCAAAATACTTAGCGCTTTCACCACCACTTAGACAATAATTTCTAGAAAGAGACCATCGAATGTGAATATTTAGGTAATGAACGTATTGGTGGAGAACGTAGCACCGGGGGTGGGGGGTAGGGAATACCCCCTAGCACAACAAAGTTACTTTTCCTACCACCATAACAAGACTTACTTGTAGTGGGTGGCATATATGGCTGGGGGGTATTCCATACCCCCCAGACCCCCCGGTTATATATTCCCACCTAAACAACCTAGCGCTTTCAGCACTTGGACAATAACTTTTAGAAGGAGACCATCGAATGTGAATCCTCAGAGCGGAGCGTCTTGTGGGAGAACATAGCACAGGGTGGTTCTGGGGGTGGGGGTGGTAATACCTCTCACAAAAGCAAAGATTCAACGTTACTTTCTTACCACTATAACAATTTCTTGTAGTGAGGCCGTATAATGTGAGTGGAGGTATTCCATACGATACCCCCCAGACCCCCCGGTTACACATTGTCTCCCCCATAGAATGTGAGTCATTTAGGCTGAAAGTTTTATGTTTCGTTTCTTCTACAATAAGATGTTCTTGTAGCGGGGTAGCAATACAAAATGGAAGAGAAAGAAAATGAAAACGAAAAGATAAGGGAAAGCCGAAAGAACGAAAAAATGGGATGGTATCCGAAAAGAGGAAAGAGCGCGCAAGGGAAAGAGCGAAAAATGAAGCAAAAGAGAAATAGAAAATGAAAGATACGGATGTAGAGGAATGAGGAATAGAGTGTGAAACTGCAATAGAAACGAAAGTGGCGTTAGATAGTGAAATGAAATCGAAATTAAAAAGTAAAATGGTAGAAGGGGTCGAACGGTAAGAAGAAATATGAAATGAAGGGGAAGCTAAAGCGTAAAATGGAGAAGAGGAGGAGGCAACAACAAGGTTGAAGGAGAGGAACTGGAAAAAAGAATGTACGGGAGGTAGGTACCGAATGAGAACGAGCAACTACCATGAGAAGGGAAGGGTAGAGAACGAGGTAGCTGACGCCGAAACGAGAGAATGGCAAAGGCGGTATAGTATGAAGCCGAAAGGAGTGATGAAGAAAAAGGGCATACAAACAAAAATTAATAACCAACTATTTGGCGAAACGGAAGCGGAGGAAGTGAAGGCGCGAGATCGGATGGAGGACGACAAGTCCACAGAGGAAGAATAAATGGATAATGGGCGAATGAGAGGTAGCAGAAGAAGGCGTGGATGTGAAGGAGGATAAAAGAGTAATAAGAAATAAAAAGTAAACAAAAAATATAAATGGAGAAGATAGGAGGGTAGGTGAAAGAAAGAGGGTGTTGATACAACAGGTGAAGCACGGTTAAAGAAATACAAAAATTGAAAAATGGTGAAATGCAGTAGAAGATAAAGCAGAAGAATGAGGAATAAACGAGAAAGTGGTAACCAAACATGAAAAAGGAAACGTAGCGGATAGTAGAGGATAAAAAACGGAGGCGGTGTTTGAAACCGAAATTGAAGACGAAGTACATGGAGGGGGAAGCGTGTGGATTCTTGGAAGAGGACGAGACAAGAAAGGAGGAAGTTCAACTGAACACGACGGTGAAACAGTAGATGACGTGAAAAGGGGGAAGTATGGGGACAAGGGAATTTGAAAAAGATAAGGAGGTAGTGTAAACGAGAGTAAAGATAGAAAAAAGGAGAGAAGGAAAACGAAGCAATGGAAAAGAAAGCAAGAAAAATTGAAAGTAGAAAGGAAAAGGTACGCGGAAAGGTGAAGAGAAATGATAAAATAAGAAGAATGTAGGTGAAAGAAGACATGGAATGTAAAAACGAATGAGGTGAATGGAAAAGGGAAAAGATAACGAAAGAAGTGTTAGAAAAACGGCACCGATCAAAAAAGAGAGGAGGGGGGGATTGTGAAATGGCAAAAGAAATTAAGAGAGTCTTCATTATAGCTTTCATTGAAGTTAACGTCAACACAAATTATAAACTATTAGAAACCACTTTTTGGTTTAGATCTCAGTCGTCATTAAGCCTTATCCTAAAAGAACCTTAACAGGTAAGATATAAATACTACGCATAAATTAAAAATGAAACAAAACTAATACTAAAAATTCGGTCACCTTCTAGCGGCTAACGGCGTCTACCCAAAACGGCGGAATATCGCAAATAAAACCGTACATCGTTCCATTTGGGTCAGGTGCCCCATCTACCGGTACAAACGTGAAATTTTGCAATAGCCCAGACAAGACCAAAAACATCGCGTGTCTTGAGAAGGTTTCTCCGGGGCACAGGCGTTTACCTAAAAATTGGAATTGAAACACAGTAAGCCATTTTGTTACTGACCTCCTCCAAATGACAACCCGATGTCCTTCTTGAGCAGATTTCCGTCGGCGTCCAGAAATCTCTCCGGTTTGAAGACGTCGGGGTCGGTCCAAACGCGCCGGTCGCGATTCGCACTGGACAGCGATATGAGTAAGCAGGTGCCCTGGAAGGGTTCTCCCTTAACTTTAGCCAGGAAAGTCGGCTCATACCTTTGGAAGTGAATATCCCCCCAGGGTGGTATCTTCGAGGACGCGTCTTGCGGTGTTTATCGGAAGAACTGGGTCAATTCGTAACGACTCGCGAATCACGGCCTCGGTGTACGGCATGCTGAAATTACAACAGTCAAAGTCTCAGGTGGCCGAAAAAGGGAGATCTACTTTTTCCTGTCATCCAGATTGGGGAGGCGGGCTCTCCCGACGACCTGCTCAATTTCGGTTTGTATTTTCGCTTGGACCTCGGGATGGTTGCATAGTCGGGCCCAGAGCATGTTGAGCGAGGGTCCGATGACGTTAGGTGATGGAAAGAAGAAGTCGATAGCCGTCCAGATCATCTGCATCTCTGTGAATTAGAAGAATGAGCTTCGATGGATTGGAAAACGCGAAAAGTTGACCGTTAAAACTACCGGAAGGACCGCCCCCTTTTCCCAACCTTTGCATGTTGCTGATGTAGGTGTCCAAAAAATCTCCGTGGTGGTCATCTGAGAAAGTCTTCGTGCGTTCCTCTACCAAGGTCTGCAAAAAAAAAACAATTATTGAGTCATCTCCATGCACACAAAGGCCTTCAGTAACCATGAAGGGCCTTTAAAGCCCTTTAAAAGGAGTTTGGATTTTTGATGGGGCTTTATTGGTTTTTCAGAGAAAACAACTGAGGAAAGACGAAGAAAGGGTAACTTAATTAACCTGAAGTGGGGGAGCTCAGAAGCGTGCAAAAAGGCGTAAGGGAAAAGGAATATAAAGCCAAAAAAGGAAAACAGAATGGGGAACTGAAAGGAAAAGAAAGAGAATAGCAAGAGCTAATTGAAATGGAAATTGAATGAGAGGTGGAGAAGAAGCGTCCAAGTGAAGGAGGTAGGAAACGGAAAACTATATCAGTAAAGGCGAATCAGACAAAAATGAAGAAAGTAAAGGAAGGGGGATGGAAATAAGGTGGAATGAGGAATGAGGAATAGGCAAAGGGTACGACTACACGGAAGAGGATGCTATACAGAACATTGCAATAGAGGATAATAAAAGAGAATTAGTATAGTTAGAAGAGGGATAGGAAAAGAGAGAAATGTGAAGCGGGAGAAAGAAAAAAGGAAGTAGAGATAGAAAAGGAAACTGAAACGAAACTGATGTGAACTGTTAGAGAAGGATAATGAGGACAAGAAAGGAGGAGGAAGAAGGATGTAAGTGCAAAAACGAAGAGGAGGAGGCTGGTAATTAAAACTGAGTGTAGAAGAAAAATGAAAGATGGAAGAAGAACTGAACAGAAGGGAAGGTTCAACATGAGAGGAACCGGAAAAAACAAACGGGAAAGTATGGAAATCTGCAGTGCTAGCGAGAATGGTGAGTAAAGAGCAGAGGATAATAGAGAGGGTAAAGGAAAGTGTGTGTGAAGTCGAATGAAAAGAGGAAAGAAAGCATAATCAATTCAGAGAAAAGGCAAAGAGTGGAGGTGAGCGCGAAGAGAGGAAACGAAAACACAGAGAGAAAGACAATAAAATAAAAATAAAGTGCAAGTGAAAGTGAAAGTGCAAGTGAAAGTGCAAGTGAAAGTGCAAATGCAAGTGAAAGTGCAAATGCAAGTGAAAGTGCAAGTGAAAGTGAAAGTGCAAGTGGAAGTGGAAGTGCAAGTGAAAGTGAAAGTGAAAGTGCAAGTGCTAGTAAAAGTGCAAGTGAGAGTGGAAGTGAGAGTGCAAGTGAAAGTGTAAGTAAAAGTGCAAGTGAGAGTAAAAGTGCGAGTGAAAGTGCGACTGAGAGTGCCCGTGCAGATGCAGGTGAAGGTGCAAGTGAAAGCAGTGCAAGGCAGAAAAGAAGGTGCAATGAAAGTGAAGCGATCGGTAATCGACAGGAAAAGTGGAAGAAGGAATATAAAACCTAAGAAGAAGAGTATAGGATAGAAGACTAATGAAAAGGATGAGCTGAATTGTGCAGGGAAATAGTAAGTCAGAGAGTAAAGTATGGAGAGAAAAAAGTAATAGGATGAGTACACGAGAGGGTGTATGAAACCGATGCAAGAAAAGAAGAAAGGGAAAGAGAGCAAAAACAATTAAAAAGGCAGACACAGGGCACAAAAAAAACAACTACGGAATGTAGGTAAAGGATGGGAAAAAGGACGAGGTAAATGTGGTTGGAAAAGGTGACTAAAATGCAGAAAATCAAGTATTAAACCGGAATGTAGTGGAGAAGAGAAAAAGAGAAGGTGAGAACAAACGACCGAGGAAGAAAATGAGGAGAGGGAACAAAAAATTAAAGAAGAACAGCGTTAGATCTAAAGCTAAAGGCAAAATGGGGAAGTGGAAGGAAATAGCAGAAGATAAATAATTTAAACTGAAAAAGGGAGCAAAATGAGGAAACGATAGAGAAGAGGAAAAGCGGACATTGAAAGGAGCCCGTTCAAGAGAGAAGGCCCAAAAAGTCTCCACATATATCCCCATTTCATCTCCTTCCGTTTCCTTCTTCTTTTTCTGCCCCTGCACTTTTCAGTTTACCTTCCTCATCCTGTCTCTTTGACCCTGCCGTTTTTTTTCACATCATCTTTGCCTCTACACTTTTTGTCTCATTTCCATCTCATCTTTTCTTCATATTTCTTCTTTTTCGCCTACCTCTTTTCTACTTCATTCCACAAGCTTCCAATTCTTGCTGAATTTTTGTATATTCCCTCCCTCCATCCTTCCTTTTCTTTTCTCTGTTTCGAACCTTTTTTTTCTTTCGTGTTTTTGTCCCCTGCTTTTGCCTTTCCTTCTTTCAATTGATTTTGTTACCTTTTCCATTGTGTGTTCGCGCTTCTTCTTCCTGATCCCTTTCCCGTTCCAGAGTCTTTCTCTTTCCATTGCACTTTTTTATCTCTTATTGCATTCGTGCTTCTTTGAGTATTATTTCAATTTTTTCCTCTACCTCTCTTAACTTCTATTTTGTCTTCTTTAACCCTCGCTTTCTAATCTTTTTCAGTTTCTTTTTTTATTTACTCTTGCCCTGTATATTCTGTTTTTTTTTCCTCTTTTGCTGCTTTTCTCTGGCCATTTCATGTTTCTGTGTCCGTTCACTTCCTTTCAATTTTTCGTATCATCACTCCATTTTCTATTTTTTGCTATGAACTACTTTCTTTACTCTTTTTTTTTTCTTTTCATTCGTCATTCCTCTCAAGTCTCCCAATTCAGCGTAAGTTTCCGGTACTGGTTCATCAGGTGTTTGTTTTCCTATTTTTTCCCTTCACTACCACCAACCCCCTTTGTCTTTTTCTCACATTGCCCTAAACATACTTCATATTTTACTTTCTCCATTCCTATTTCTGTTAATTTCTCTGGACCTTCCACTTTCTGCTGCAGTCCCATTCATTTCCACACTTCTTGTTTCCTACCATCTCAATTTTTTTAATTTTTCCTTTCTTCATAACTTTGATCTTCCGATTCTATTTTCGCAACTTTTTTCTTTTCCCCGTTTGTCTTTTCATTCTTACAGATCCTGGTTCTCTTTAATGCGAGTTTCTAATTCAGCCTTCCGTTTTTCTTCAGTTTTTTCTATCGTTTTCTGCAACTCGCCGACCTTCCCCTTCTTTATTTCTTTTTTCTCCATTCGGTACGGTTACCATCGATCTTCACATTTTTTCTATTTCACTTTTGTCTTCAATTTACCTTTTCTCCTTTTTCGTTCATTAAACTGAGTGTTTGCAAATCACAGTCTCAGAAAGTATTTCCACACGTCCACAAGTCAGAAAAAAATTCCAAATGTATTTTTCTGGATAGAAAATCTCTGTAACATCTGTAACATCTGTAACATCTGTAACATCTGCAACATCTGCAACATCTGTAACATCTGTAACATCTGTAACATCTGTCACATCTGTAACATCTGTGTTCAAGAATTTAAATTTTGTTCCGTAATATCAATGGTTCAATCAGACAAATTCAAGGGTCTATTGATTCCAGAATTTCAAAACTTGGAAGGGAAAAATCAACCCTTTAGACCTTTGCATAATCCCACAGTGAAGATTTCAGAGCGTTTGCGAATATTTGAGTTGAGGAATACTGAAGGTTCGAACCCCCCGCAAAGGTACAGTCAACACCCGTGTACGTTTGGCCTTCAGGAATCTCTGTGAGGCTTAAGAGCCTTGGGAGTTTTTAAAATAATTAAGTAGCCTTGAAAATCTGAGTCTTTAAATGGATTCATGCGCTTTTAAGTGTTTTTAAATCTTTCAGGGGTTGAATTTTCAAAGTGAAACTCAAGAGATGATCAGGCCGCAACTTTAACCTTAGGATTGGGACCTCTCAAGATTGGTCTAATTTCAAGACTTGGGTCTTCAACCCTGAAATTTGAAGTTTGTCTCCTCCCATGTGATATTTTGGGTTTCGTTCTAGACTAAAATTAGAAAGTCCCTTATCGCAGCAAAACAAGCACCGATGTTACGATTTTAATGCGTAGATAAAAATATCAAATAACGTTCTTATCTATAGCGTGCGCACTTTCAGGGTTACGCTTGGGACGCTTGGACTAGTGCGAGTAATTGCGTATTTACCATGAAGAAGTCCTGGATTTTTTTGTTTTCCTCTAGCGTTGGTGTGGCGCCAAAGTACTCTGGAGCGACATGGCGAATCCATGGCGTGATACTCAAGGCCCGTCCCGTCGTATCCATGTTTCGAAAAAATCGCAAGGTGGACCGGGCGATAGTTCGCAACTGCTTGTCTTCGAACCGTTTACCAACGAGCATCTGAAGCATTGAGTTCGATAGCATACCGTAGAATAGATCCGGGAGCAGTATACGACCTGGCTTTTGCTGGACGTCCTATTAAGGGATCGGTAAGGGTGGCTTGCACGGGACGTCACATTTACCTACGTGATTGTCCGGATGAGGGTTGGAGCTGATCTGCCCGATTAGGTTCCTCACTTCGCTCTCGAGCATCTGCTCGGTCGTGGGGAATCTTCTTCCAAAACCAAAATCGCGGAGCTGGCGTAGCGCAAACCTCCTCTGCTGCCTCCAGTAGTCTCCACTGGTAAAAATAACGCCTACGGGCGTCCTCAGTTAGCGCGGCGAAACTCCCAACGTTTCGACTCACCCAAAAGATCACCCATGGACCTGAACCGGTTCGGGTAACAGTCAATTCGCCCAATAAACTCCTGGCGAGTCAACGTCTCCTTGACCAAATCATGGCCGGTGACCAGCACCGTCGGAGTCCTCCCCAACATAATACCAACGAGATCGGATTTGTAACGTCTGCTGAGCACCTCCACCGCCTTGTGGGTGAAATTGTAGTTCGCCAGCAGCAGAAACCAGTAGCCGCCCCATATCGGTAAACTTGGAGGGCCTAAGGCGATGGTGCAAAGAACGAAAAGTCAGAAGTGCGTACTTACCAGGAGGGAAGTTCTCCAGCTTTGGCTTTGATAACCGATATACGAAAATGTAGACCAGGGTAGATAGTATTACCAAAATTATCGAGGTTATCATTCTTGTATGTTTAGTGGAACACTGAGCTATCGTTACATGGATCCGCGGCGCCTCATATTGTCGAAAAATGTACGCAATAGCATTTAGATTAGATGCGTAATGAGTTTATTATCGAAGGGTAATCAAAAGTGTGTATGCTCAACGGATAACTGCATCCCCAACTCAGACGTCTATCTAGAATTTTAAACCTTGCAGTTTAAGTTAAAGTTCATATTTAGGGTAAATATTGGCTCTCCTAAGATAAGGGATATCTTTTTCAAATAACTTCCATCAGTAGTTCTCGTAGTTGAAAGCCAAAGATCACGGAAACGCTCTACTGCGGTCGTCTGAAGATAGTAACTTTCTGCATCAGCCTCCAAGTGTCCCAGTGTTTCGCGTGTCAAAGATTCGGCCACTCCAGCGTGAACTGCAGCTTTCTCCGTTCGATGTAATAAAAACCACCTAGCGTCGGATTGTAGGAGGAAGCAAGAGGAAAAACTGCAAATTGCTCCGGAAGCCATCCGGCCAACTACCTTCCTCCGGTGACTAAACGTCATAGACGCCCCGAAGAACCATTTTTGGCCACCGAGGAAGCAGCACCCGAGCAGGCAGCCCCCACTGTCGTCTCTCGTGTGGAGAAATCATCCAACCCCTCCACTTCCGGCTGGCAGACGGTCAAGAAGCGAATAAAAAAGGCAAAAAAAAAAAGAAAACCGCTCCCACGACCTTTCGACAACAGCCACCGACCATCACGTCGCACCAACCCCTTCGGACCGGCAAAGAGTTAGCGAGCTCTGTGCTTACTTTGTTTATTTTAGTAAAGAACTCAACTTTTAAACGCGAGACTTAATTCAAACTTACATTCGAAGCCCGAGCGAAATTTGTCTTTATCAAGACACGAATAACGCGCGAGGATTTAATTAAATTGTGAGGAGGTCAAGACAGTGTAGAAACCAAATCAACACGACTACGAGGGCGAAAAGAATTAACTAGAATTAAGCTAAAGGAGTAAAGATAGAATAGAGGGACGCAGGCCACGAATACAGTCTGAGCATGGTATCCGGGGGGAGAGCCACGCCAAGAAGGAGTGGAAATAACCAGGATAGTAGCCAGGATGCAAAAGGAGTCAACTGCATGAGGGTAGCCACGTGGAATCTACAAGGGACAAACGACCCAAATAAAAGGGAGCTAAAAAGACGAATTAAGAAAACTGGATGTAGAGGTAGCCAGCCTACACGAAACCAAACTAAACGATGGTAGATAGGAGGCACAGCAATCGTAGAAGAAGCTGAAGAAGAACTAATTGATGAGATGTAAGGAAAGAAAAGGAAGGGGTGTAAAAAGGAGCAGGATGAGATCAAGAACAAAAAGGGGACAGGGAGACCATCTTGAACCAGAATCGCCAAGACGCTCAAGGAAGCAGCAGGGAAAACACTAAGGAGGCATAAACAACCCATTTGAATTGGCAGCGTACGATATGGAAGCAGATTTTCTTGCTCTCCCAATACAAGATAATTTTGTCTTTGGCATCAAGAGAATATGAGATGAGAGCGGATGGTGGAAAATCACTTTCTGTGCTCCTAATCGAAAATGTTTTGATATCCGGTACGGGATAAAAGCAGATTTTTGGGAATCATTTTCTGCTCCTCTAATACAAATTATTTTTGGCGCATTTTTTAAGAATTAAAAACAAGTATAAATTGTGCACAACTCTTGTCCAGATAAAGCGCATTTTTTAACCCAAATAGATTTTGTTTTGACATAACCAATGGATATATTTCTTGCAGACGTCTCAATCGCCCATTGTGAGTACCCTCTTCCCACAATCCGTTCTTGAGGTATAAGGGAATATATCCGATCACGATAAGAGGTCAAGGACGAGGGCTATGGTTGGTAAAAATTATTTCCTTTCGTCGAGACCTTTCATTAGAGTACCATGACGGATATAACTAGTTCTACCCCCCCCCCCCCGCTTCCCCTCCACCCCTTACTTTGATAAGAGGACAAAAAGAAGGGCAGTAGTTGGTAGAAAACGGTTCCTTTCGTTGGGACCTTTAATTAGAATACAATGAGAGACAAAATTAATTTTTCACTCCCCCCCCCTCCCCGGCCCCGTCTCTTACTGAGTCGCACGGGAAAGTTATAGTTTGTACAAACTAATTTATTTCGATGATACCTTTCATTGGAATACCATGAAGTGTGTCCCCCCCCCCCATTTTCTAAAGTTTAACTTGGCCCCACTAAAGGCGTATGTAATATCTGAGACCAATTGGTTGTCGTATGTAAAAGTTATGCACGTTTTACTTTCAAAAACAGCATCTCAAGAAATTCGGGGGGGGGCACCTTTTAGACAGCGAAATTTGATGGCCGTCTGGCACACCTTCAAGGTATAAGCTGCCTACTGCAAAAAATTCCGGGACTCCAGGAAGAACTGGGTCCGGACAAAATGCAAACAATGGCACCTTTTCTTTCATTCTTCGAAAATGCGCTAAAAATGTGCTATTGTTTGCGTGTTGCCCGTCCGTCCGTCCGTCCGGACCCACTTCTGTCGTTTCGAACTACTTCTAGGGGAATGGTCCTAGAGTCCTGGCATTTTTTGCAGTGGGTAGCCTATGTCTTGAAGGTGTGCCAGACGACCATCAAATTTCGCTGTGTAAAAGGGGGGCCCCCCCACGAATTATTTCCTGAGATGCTATTTTTGAAAATAAAACATGCGTAACTTTTACATACGACAACAGATTTTGCATACGCATGTCTTTAGTGGTACCAAGTTAAACTTTAGAAAATTGGGAGGGGGGGGGGTCTACCCTTCATGGTAGTTTAATGAAAGGTCTCATCGAAATAAATTGGTTTGCACATACTATAACTTTCCCCTGCAACCCTTTTTCGAGATCAGTGAGCGACGGGGCCTGAGGGGCAGGGGGGGTTAAAAATTAATTTTATCTCTCATTGTATTCTAATTAAAGGTCTCAACGAAAGGAATCGTTTTCTAACAACTACTGCCCTTCTTTCTGTCTTCTTATCAAAGTACGGTGAAGAGGAGTGGGGGGGGGGGGGTGGAACTAGTTTCATCCTTCATGGTACTCTAATGAAAGGTTTCAACGAAAGGAATTAATTTCTACCAATCATAGTCCTCCTCCTCGACCTCTTATCGTGATCGGGTATATACCCTTATACCTCAAGAACGGATTGTCGGAACGGTACTCACAAAGGGCAATTGAGACGTCTGCTAGAAATAAATCCATTGGTGATTTCAAAATAAAAGCTATTTCGGTTTTTAAAAAAATGCGCTTTATCTGCACAAGAATTATGCACAATTTATACTTGTTTAACAATGTCTTGGTATCAGGAGAATAGGAGAAGAACTTAAAAGCCGTGGAAACACTTGAAAACCCAAGAAAGACCCAAGAGCTATAAAACCTTCTTAAAAAAGCTCAAATGTTATTAAAAAAACCCTAAGGTCTCACGAAACCTCCTCAAGGATCATCTGCTAGAGACTTAAAGGGTTACGAAACCCCTTAAAGAATCAAATTAGTAAGCCTCCTCAGGGGGATTTTGACGACCCTTTGAAACTGAACGATTTGAAGCCATCTGAAAGAGTTTTTAAAGCCGTTTAAGACTCTTAAGGGGTTTGAAAGTCTAAATAGACTCTTTAAAACTGTTCTGAACCCTTAAAAACAAACATCAATCAATATCCCTATGCGCCCGCCCTTTGAACCTTTAATACTTTCAACGCACTTTGACGCTAATAAAAGCTCTCAAGGGCTTTAAAAACTAGCCTCTTAAAAATTGCAATAAATACAATTAAAGGTAATTAAAGATTTCCAAGAACTAGAAAGTGTAACGGTAGCTCTAAATTTGGATCTAGTTTTTTTCGACGTTTTTGTGATAAAGTTCGGAGATTTGGTAGTGGAAAAGAATAAATCGGCGCGCATTCGGTGGACTGGAAGATTGTCCTTTTTGCATCTTTTAATCCCTATAGGGCACTGTGTTCTTAATGAATTTCGAGATGTAGGTGATTTAGACCATATTCAGTTATCTTAATTAGGGCTAATTTTGCAAACCTCATTGAGAAATACGCGTTCGGTCAAGGACAAATTTATTAAACGCGCTGGCCGTGAAAGTGTGTCCGCTTTCCCAGAGTTACACCGGATGTGGAATATCGTATGGTTGGAGTTGAAGAGCTCACCCTTCCAGACGTCCTGTGGGTGTCTTCATGGACGTCAATCACATGAGGGGCTGGTGGTTTGTGTTGGCCCGCCTTCGATATAGCCTCGGAACTGCTTGATGCTCCCAAGGCTTGTAGCTTCGTAGTTCCTTTCTGCCGACGTGAGCGTATTCGACGATGCGTTCCTGGCCACCCTCACCGTGAACCAGAACTACCCCAATAGCGTAAGCGCTATCGTCGGCGAAGGGTTTGCTGTCGTCCGCCTGACATAGAAGTGGGGCGGAGATGAGCTGTTTTTTTAAGTCTCCCTTTGTTCGGATGTCCACTCCCAGGTTTTTCTTAGTTAGCATGCCGAGGGGCCTATCTACAGCAAAGCCATTTATGGATCGGTTTTACCGTATTTTGCATGACCGCTACGTTTTCTGAGCCTTTTTTCTCCGAGATAGCATGGCTCAGGTGCCAATCAGCAAAAGCGGCATTTAGTTCGATTGGCGATCCAAACTCCTTGAGAGTATTGAGGACGATCTCTACGGCTCTGATGGGTTCTCCAGCAGGATTAGATCATCAAAATGAATCAGTCGGCGACTATTGTGCGGAACCAGGTGTCTCCATAAGTCCCTGGAAGGTCACAGTCGCGTTCCTTAGCGCGAAAGGCATCCGTCGGAACCGGTTGCTTCCAGAGGGGGTGATCTTTTTCCTGGACTTTGATCTGCCAATATCCGCACTGCAGGTTATCATTTGAAGCTCTTTTTCTAGTTGTGATTTTCGAGAATGTGGCACTCGGTTTGCTGGCATGGAAATGGGCAGACTGTCATCACTGTCAATCCGGAGTGTCATAATGGTTTTGTGGGAGCCGCAAACAGTTCTTCATTCTGGCGTCCATCTTCCATCTTGAGTAAGATGTGTCTTCCTTCTTCCGGTCTTAATGTCAGAGGTCCTCCAAATTCGTTACTGGTTCCTCGTCAACGTCAATATTTTCCCAGAGCCGGTGGAATCCGGTCCATCCGTCTGTTCGTTCGTCCGGACCCACTTCTGCGGTTTTGATTCCTGGATTTTTTGCAATATGTAACCTTCTGCCAGACGGCCATCATATTTGGGTGTTTCAAAGCACCCCCCCC